CAGATGAAACGGGCCTCTCAGGTGCTAGAGGATGTCGATGATCTGGGGGTCCAGCATCCAATCGCTGCAGTCTAGCCAATGGCGGGAGAACCAGTCCACTGTGAGATTCGTCTCTCCTGGCAGGTATTCCGCCTTGAGGGAGATGCTCTGGGGAAGGCAGTAAAAGTCGAAAATCTCCTTCATTAGTTCTGACAGAAGTCTTGAACGGGCTCCGCCCAGACGGTTGAAATAGCGGACTGCAGAGACGTTGTCCATCCTGAGGAGGATGCAACAATTGGACCTGTCCTTTGCAAGGCTGCATATGGCGAAGGAGGCCACAAGAAGTTCTAGACAGTTGGTATGCAAGGTGAGTTCCTGTGAAGTCCAGGCTCCTCCTGTCAGAGGGCCAAGCTCTCTGGTGCCCAATTCCACCAACTTTCCGTCTATGTGGAGTAGTGCTGCCTTGCGCCTCTCTTTGACGAGAGGCCAACGTTTGCATTTCCTATAAAGCAGAAACCCCTTTGAGCCTATATCATGCGCCCATTCCCTAACTGTGTTGGCATCGAATTGGTCAGCCCTCTGAAAGGCGTCATTCGCCAGGTACATGATTCCAAAGAGGGGTCCAGTGGCATTTAATAATTTGTCCTGAGCTGCTCCGAATCCCCTCTCCACCCTTTTACGGGGGTCGCAACCACGTCTCGTCATGAAGGTTGACATGACCTGGTCGAATTCAGGTGTTTGGGCAACCTGGTCCAGTAAGGAAGGGAGTAGGCATTCCGACTTCAGTCGGTTATGAACCACCTTGCCAAGCGGCTTGCGTAGCCATAGGTGCATACATTTTGAAAAAAGTGTTCTATATAAAGCCAGTGTTGTCAGGTACATGTTTTTATCCACTTGAGAAAGCCCTAAGGGGAGAAACACATTGTGGTATTTTAATTGCTGAATTTTACTAAAGGTATTTTGGCCACTTTTAGTCAGCCATTTTACTCTTTTATTTATTTTTACCTGGCACCAGAGTTTTTATTGTTCCAGTGAGAATTTTACTCCAAAGAATCCTTAGTGGGGATTGTACCACTCAAGCTTTATCCATTGAGCAGTCTGCCTGCTCAATAAAATGTGAGTAACCACTTGGTATTTTATTATTTCACCTCTGACTTTAATACAATAAGCACTATTATTGTTTCTTTTATATTTCATATGGTCCTTATACCAACAAGATATCCATCTAATACAAAACTTCCCGTATCCTATAAGTGGGGATTGTACCACTGTATGCTATCCACACTAGAGCTTGTCGTATAGCTCTGGAAAACGTGAGAAGGACCATATAGACCTCTAACAAAATAGTACTTAGTACCTGTTGGGATATACTGCACCATAATTTGCTGTCTTTTTATTTTTTCATACGGATCTCACAAATATCCCATGCCCATACCTTACTGAGGAATACTTCCCCTGACAAGATTGTGATTGACTTCTTATACAAGGTTTTATTTGGACTTTTTTCTGCATTTACCAGGCATAGACTCTTTTGGACTTACTTTTTGGACTCCTGATTATTATTCATTATCTATATTTTGAACTATTTTTTTTTTTTTTTATCTTGTATGTATTTTCTCTTAGGTAGTGTCTTGTATATGTGCTTGTATAGTTTATAATTAGGTTTTTTCACCTGTGGCACTGCCTCCCAATTCCACCTTGTTTTGCTTTGTCCACCCAAACACTTGCTTAGACTTAGTAAAGGGTGAAGATGAACTGGCTTATTGGGACAAATGCCACTCTTTATTCCTGGGTTCCAAACAGGGGGTTATCAGGAAAACAATAGGTATTGCACAACATCTGGTGCCTAGGTGTTTGTATCTGACCAGGTAATTGTATTAACAACCAGATACCTCGGCGCCTAATAACATTAATACATGAAAACTAGGGTTCCCGTGCCTGCATCCCCAAACCAATGCCATTTCCGGAAAGTTCTCTTCCGAGAGCTCATTCTGTCCAAAAAGTGCTTGCATCAGAGATGTGTAGCTCAAGTTAGCTGGATGTCAAGTTTTGACCGGGCTTCAGCCATCCTCTGATCCGGTGCATAGTTTCACTGCGCTGGGTGGGAAGTCCCGGGTTACTAAAATGATGGTGCTTTCTGCTGGTACATGGAGCTCCCTCAAGTCCTTGGTGTCATTTGATGACTTACCACCTCCCCTATCACTTCTCCAAATTCCGCCCTGTTTGGTGACTCTGGGACAGAGAGCAATATCAACAATGTTTTACCGGCCTCTACGCAATCAGTTTGGGAGTTCCAGAGAGTTTGTGGTTGCTCCCTGCCAGGTGAGCCATGACTCTGTGAGTTAGCTGTCGGACTGTGACTCCTGGGCCTCTGGAAATGGACATTGGGCTGGGAGGCACAGGCTGGAAGGATAAATGTGGTCCCTTTTTAAAAGGAGGTGGTGGTTGGGAGTCATGTACCAGTCCTGGGTGACCGGATGGTCTGTCACACTTTTCACTTAATAGTGACTAGTTTTAATTTGAAAATTGATTTGCTGAATATATAGAAGCAGTTGAACTTAAAAAAAATTACTAAAATACCCAAACAGAAGATTTATTTTCCTAAGATTTTCTAACCAGTTGTCACTTTACTACAACTCTCTCTCTTTTTTTTTTTTTTTTTTAGATAAATTGATCATGTAATATTTTATTCTTGTTCTTAAATATGTTAATTTATTTTTTAATTCAAAACTAATTAAAAATGTAATAAAATTCAATGTGTTTCCTGTAATTTGATTTAAAAATGAATAAAATTCCACTCTAATCCTCATTTTTTTGTCTCATATTTAATTACTTTTCTATTGTTGAACAATACTTAAAATTAATCTGTTAAACTGGATATAGAATGAAGTTGTTAATTTGACATTATGAAAATTGTTCTTGTTCTTTTGTCAGCTAGTACATAATGAATATTTTATATACTAGAATCAAGAGAATTAAATAATGCAAAATTAGAAATGTATTACTTTGTAATGTAAGTAGAATATTTCAAAACTTTATTCTTTTACAAAATGGAAACCAGTGTCTGAAAAAAATCAGCATACAGACATATAAAGCTTCATTCAACCTAACAAGATCTGGGTCATGAGTCCAGTGTGAGGTTGGTTGGAGAACTAATTTGTGGTATGTGTCAGAGCAATAGGAATTAGCTGGATTGTGGGATCGCAAAATCATATATGATCGTTCTCCTTGTGGTCAGTAAACAAGTATGTAGACCAGAAAATGTGAGATTTCTAGTTCAAGACCAGATAAGACCAATAAGAAACAAAACAAAATACATTAATGGGTTGTCAGTCCAGCTATTGTTAGATTACAACACTTTAATAATCTGCCAAAATCAAGAAAACTTTGGAAGAAGGAAGCTATAGTCACACATAGCAATAAGGCCATGGTTAAACATCTCTCGTCTAACCAGTTGTTCAGAGGCTTATCTCTGAGAACTTCATCACAAACATTTTGTAGCATCCATTTCTCAATCTTTAAACTTATACTTTGTACTAGTACTAATATTTTTGCATTTGAAGATATGCTTTTTATTATGTTTTTTTGTTTGGAATGTTACCAAATTATAGTCACTTCTAGCTGCAGACACATCCCACTATTTCCTGTTTCAACGGAATCTGTTAAATTACACAATATTGACAAACTTTAGTTTTTGTGTGTATAAGGAATTATCACTGGTTACAGCTTTATAGTCTATACACTATTTGTGCTGCAAAGTCATCATACAGTCAGAGGTCCTAATGGAATCTAAATTTGTATTTGCCAGTGGTAAGTCAATAATTGTTCAATGACTAATGCAGACAGAGACAGACGACAAGATCTATGGACACTGTCCAATAGTGTGATGGGTACAATAAATGGGTTCTAGATGAATTTCTGGTGCTGTCTAAACTAAATATACTGTAGTTTAAAAAAGACCAATTGGCCTCTAAGAATTGCTTATTTGATTAAAATTGTATAATCCTAAAATCAACTGTACGGTATAATTAACAGGGCACCATTTGGAGGTGACATAGCAATGAAATTGTAATTGTTTTCACCTCTTATCAAACAGCAGCGTAGTATTGTTACTGAAACTTATTTCAATGCAATCATAACAAATATATGAGCCAAAGTAGGAACTATGTTGTCTCATGTTCTAGTAAGAGTTTGTCAAAAGCTTCTCCCACCACATCATGCTATTACCCATCATGATGGTTGATGGAAATGGAACATGTAATATAGAATAGACGCTTATTTTTTATTATCGGATATTCCACAAGCCTCTGTTTGGGATTTCCTGCCTAGTTAGTGACATATTCTAATTTCTTACAAAAGGCAGCTCAGTACTGGTAGAAGGAGTCCTACCGCCATCCAGATTGTAGAAAGTCACAACTCCTAGAGGACAGACATGACATGAAGTAAGAATAACATTGGGTAACGAAGATATACATTTCAGGCAAGTGTTGTCCTCAAAACCTTTAACTGAGATAATTTATACCAATTAACTCTTGCACAAACCGATACGTAGAACTGTAGACCTGTTACCTGACATTCTGTAGTAGTTATAGAAAATTCTATCAGTATCAGTCTGCATCCACAGAGTAAAGGATTGACTGAGAAGAACCCTACGAGATACCGGTCAAAACCCTGCGAGATACCGGTCATAATCAAAACATATGTCAATTGGGCCTGGTGGTCAGGCTGACACAAGTCTCTTTTTGAAATCTAATAACACACTGAGATTTATCAAGGCAAAATAGGTGCAAAGTACAAAATTTTAGCAAATTTTATCGGATTCCATGGTGACCAGTAAATTTTTTTTAGCACTTTGCACACAATATAACTTGTTTTTTTACTTGATAAATCGCCTTGAATAGCAGTTGTGATAAAAATCTAACTTTTCCTGTTAAGCACAACACATGAATCAAAATGTTTATTTGCTAACCAGAAAGCATTTATTGGCATTTTTATTGAACAAGTGTGCCGAGGAATAACCCCTAGGATTTAAAGCAAGCAGAACAATTAGCTATTTTTGAGGCATTCATTTGGGGCTTTACAACATCTGATTCCACCGGCTGCATTAAATCACTCTCGCTGGCGATTATGTGGTTCACCAGACATCTGGAAGCTTCATCAATATTTATATTTTCCTGTAAAAAAAAAAAAAAAAAAGAGAGATAAAAGACAAAAAACAGCAGAGTATTATAATTTAGCTTGGAAAAGAGAAAAGCACATTTAATCTCAGAAGCATTTGCTCAAATAGTGCTAAGCTGTATGGCTCAGTTTCCAAATTAGCTCAGAACATAAGTTACATTTATGAAAAGAATATGAAACACATATCAAAGCAGAGATTAATTTCTCTTACAAGTATAATGAAACTTAGAATTTTATATTTTTTTTCGAGATTATGTTTTCGCAAATAGCACTGCGTGCAGACTTTAAACTATTTTTATTTACAGGAATGCAAGTCTTTTCTGGAAAACACAACTAAGTCACCTAAAACTTGAGTTAACCTTATTGTCATGTGGTGCTCCATTTTCTCTGAAATACATATTAAAGGGGCACTTTAAGCACCACAACTACTACAGCCCAGTGTAGTGGTCTGTGTTAAAAGCAGTTTTCAAGTAGTTTGACACAAACATGTTTGATCTGTTCCATTCCTTAGCAAAGTCCTTTTAAAAGGCCCAATTTTGAAAGTCACAGTACATTATTTTGTGTGGGCTTGAACATAAATTTGTCTTTAAGTACAAAGTTGACAAAATTAGACATCGTGATAGTTATTCATGGAAACTCGAAAGGTTTTATACACTAACTGTGAAAAGAGTTGCTCCTTTGTACTGCTATTTACCTTTAAAAAAAAATAGTTTAACCCCTTAAGGACCAAACTTCTGGAATAAAAGGGAATCATGACATGTCACATATGTCATGTGTCCTTAAGTGGTTAAACAAACAATTATGACAGAAAATTAACTGAACAAAAAGAGATGAGATGGCAAAACAAGGGTTTCATTTCACCACAATCCACTTGTCAATCAACTTAAATATGTGCCAAATCATTTCTGTGGAAAATAAACACATTTTTGGGACAGACGAATTATGGCCATTTGGCTTTTGGCTAGTCTGAATTTTATAATGAAAAAAAGATTCATGAAAATGAATCAGAAGAACCAAAAGTGAGCCTAAATGGTCCAGTCAGTGTTCTGAAAAACATATACATAATATACATTTTCTGTATATATTTTGCAGTACACTTATAGGAGCATTTTCCCGCCTATAAATACAGATTTTTTTTTACCTACACCTCATTCCCTCTATTGCCCACTTCTCACAGTTGATCTGTGAAAACAATCAACATTTAGTAGCTGTCCCTCAGCCACCAATCATCTGTTTTCCCCATCAAACATCTCTATTTTTGGCTCTGTGGACCAAATACAGAGGAACATGGGCGTCCATTGTACAACTCGTTTTTTTTGTGATTAGTCTATGGCAGTTCAGAAATTGGGAATCTGTACAATCATCCGATTGGCCCAAATTCAGACAAATTGGTGTTCATAATGAAACATATCTCCAAGTCTACTAATCACTCATTGTCAAAATGAAACATTTTTATTTTAAAAGTTCCTCTGTATATTGCTTTGCTTTCTAACAAAAGAATTAAAAAAATTGCATCGAAGTCATAACATAAAAACACAATAAACTGCATATATTCACAACAAAATATACACCAATATTTCAAATAGCCTTGGCTAGAATTCCCAGAACCTGCTATAAAATTATATACATGAACAACGTATTAAGAAAAGGAGTTCTTAGTGATTAATAAAATTGCAGTAAATTGCCCATGTCTTGCAGGCTATTAATAACCCACGTAAGGTTATTTTAAGATCCGTGTTTCACATTCCACGGCTACATAATATATCATTTTCAAAGTGCCGTGAAAAAGAATAATCAAATGAAGAAGCCAATCAGGAAATGGGAACTTCGCAGCAGGACATAGAAGCAAACCGGGGATTAAGAAAGAAAGCCTGAAAAATATTTTTAGACTTGCTCACATCCACTAAATCAAAATGATTATGGAAAATGTTGACATTAACCTTTTGAGGAAAATATTTGTAAAAAGAGCATGGTCCCTAAAGAAATTGATTCATTTTAAGCTCTTGATGAATAGGGGTTAAGCAAATCACATCATAGCGTAATAATTCTGGCATGTGGTATGTCACAAAGGGGCTAAACTTTCAAATATCAGCTTGGAAATAATCATTTTTCCACCAACAAAATGCATTACACCATTTATAAGGACGTGTGTTATTGCAAAGCACAGAATACTGCTGTACCCCCCTGGTTCAAGAGTGATACAGTAGGCTTAGTAGGACTTGTGGCTGGTTTTTAGGGCAAGGATTAGGGGGTATGTTGGATCAGGGATATTTAGAGGGTTACTCCAATGACCATGACTATGGCACTGATTTGAACTAACTAGTCATGGTGGTATGAGTATGTATGTGGATGTCAATTCTGTGCATATTTTAAATATGTTGTCAGTGGGCATAGCCCTCTGGCAACAGATGTACAAATCTTCCATTTGCAGGCTGGGCACCTGCCAAGGTGGATAGCTCTCAATTCCCTCTCTCCTACTCTGTGGACACTCTCCAGCCTCACTGTTAAAAACTGGAAGAAATCCTTCCTCCCTCCTCCCCACTCCATCTTCATGTCCCTTGCTGGCCCAGAGCGCACACATATAATCTGAGCCAGATAATTGATCCAATGATAGGTTTATCTATGCTGGGTGACGTCATGAAGGGGCATCGAAGAACAGCGTCAAGTGATGTGCCTGGTCCTGGATTAAGGTAAATTCAAAAACAATTTGCAGGTTGTTACGAGGGGTACCCAATAGTTATGCTCGATAGGGCATTTATAATGTAAAAGGTAGAGTGATGTAGGCTTTAAGGATAGGGAGAAATCAGTTTAAAGGGGCCAACTCTAAGGTACTATAACCCCAGCCTTTGATCTAGCAGTAATGAATGAAATCTCAGCAAAACGCGAAAGATGCTTGGCTTTTAAATCATATTGTTTCGATTGTAATATTTGGAGTTTATTGCTTTTTCTGAACTAATTATTTATCTATTTATTGCCCTGCAATTTGCCATCTTAAAGTAAGTGTTGGGAAGAGCAAATCTTACAATACAGTACAGTTACAAGGTTATATTCTTATTGTATATAAAACAATCTTGTTTAAGATTTTGTTTGTGTAATTCTTCTATTGGAATACTGAACATTAATTTAGCTCTTTGTGCAATTCCCACATAGAATTGTATTAACTTCATTATGAAACAAACTGTTAGGTTTTCACTTGCATTGGATAGGGTTTTGTTTATTGTTGTTTATGTTATGGCTAGAATTTCATTAGTTTTTCTCTTGAGAGATATATATAAATAATTTTATTTGTTATAAGAGCCTAAACGAAAGCATATATGTGAAAAAGGATTTCTTTTTTTATGATACTTTTACTCTATTTACAACACCCCTTGATGAAAAAACAAAAAAAAGTGTATATGCAAGGAACACTCCACCCTATTTAAAAATAAATTTTCTTTCTTCCCCTTTAGTGCTTGCCTTGAGTGCGGATGGGAACCGTACTGGCTCTCGGATGGACAGTTAAGAGGTGTTACCAAGGAGTATTGTAAAGTGCCAAAATCTCTTCAAATCACTTTTATTATAGAAGGAAGACAGCTCTTAGCCCATAAAGCACTCTAGCAACCAGAAGTATTTTAGGAGTTTAGTGTATCATTTTATTATCTCTTTGATTGTCCACTCATAATATGGACCCAGAACATTTTTTTATAACGGAACTGGTGCTTTGTTGTCCAGTTGTTATCCAGTCTCCCAAGGAATGACTGATTGTGAGATCACCATATTTGCATACGACCCTTATGAATTTTGTCTGGACCTGACTACTAGTGAGAAATCAATTGGTTAACTCATGCATTGAATATTCAAACTCTCATTAGATCTTAAGGAATTCAGGTGTCCAGTAAAATAGGGCAAAAGTGCACACCGGTTGATAAACTCCAGTCAGAAAAATGTAAGCGAATATGGTAGGCATGCAACACATTTTACCAGCAGAAGTATGCTCTTCTGTTGGTTCTTCAGGTCCCCCCCAGCCGTCCACTCCCTTCTTTCCTAACAAGGCACAACAGTTAATGGTGTGCATCTTAGACCAATATCCAGCACCTATCAGATGTCATGTGTGTCTTACCATTGGACTGCCATAGGTTGCCCATGACATTTTGTCCCTTAAAATTTTACATGAAAAAAAAAATATGGGCCAAACCATATTTTAATTAAGAATCTTAATTATGAAACCCCTCCTATGATTTGACCCAAATGATCCCCAATTCTGACCTTTTCAAAATTAAAATTACCCTCAAATGTGTTTTAATTGGCCCAGAATATGTTTTTTAATGTGTTCTGAAAGTTATCTGATTATTTTGCCACATTTTTGAAACCTTTAAATAAACGTAGATTTTGATCTGTTTAGAAAGACAGACCAAGAAGAAGGGGATGAGGAACTAAAATAATTGCAGTAACTGTTAGTAATAGTCGCTGGTTCCTGATCTGTAATTGTTGGAGGACTTACTGTGTGCTTTAGGGTCTCTGTTGTCATGCAGTATGTTGTTGTGTCTGTCTTCTCTTCCTCTCATGCTTTAGCATTTTCTACTTTTAGGTCTACATGCTATATGTATGCCCTTCCTCCATGTTTCTGTGCTATCATCTGTCATACTTGTGATTACATTTCAGAAAGGGACAAACACAATATACACGTGGCTATGATGTAGAATTCCCTGACACCGTGAACCTCTGCATGTCGTTTTTCAACACAATAATAAATACACACAGAATCCATTGTATAACATGATATTTGAAAAAAAAAAAAAAAGAAAAAAAAAAAGTCATTCTGAAGAAAAGAGACTTTTCATTCGAGACTTTAGGGCCATTCGTGACTTTTATACTCTGTTAGTGTTTTCATTCGTTTATTTGACTTTATGGAAGTAGGCCGACCGCACAACCTAAACTCATAGAACTGTTTTGGGCAGGAGCCTCGTGTGCAGTCGATAAAAATAAGACTTCCATAGAATTCGAAAACCCCTGAACTGATCTGGGTGATTTTTTAATATGTTGGTCATCCAGATCAGGGCTATCAGGGGATATGTCATTTATGGGAATACCATGTGTTTTAGGGTACTTTCCAAGTTTTGGGGAAAATATGTTTTTTCTGCCTGGAGATAATTGGGTTATCCTTTAGTTGACTTAATTATCTCACAGGCCGAGAGGAGGGGATTGTACGTTTGCAATGGGAGTGTTTCACTTTGTCAATGTAATTGGTTGTAACCTTTGTGTCCTGGTGCCCCACAAGGTCCATGTGGGAGATCCCCTTGCATGGGGACTTGCATAAAAGCCAGTGTAGCATCAATAAACCATTATTCCTGTTGTACTCTTCATGAAGTCTAGGCTCATGTTTGGGTAACTATCTACTGGCTGGGGAGAAACTACTTGGAAGCTGCATTCGTCTAGAACTATTCGTATCTACACCCGAACTGCAACTATAATCACTAAGTCTCAGCAATTCGGGAGGAATATGTGAACAAGATACTATAGTATAATACAATATCAACACTACTATGGTTAATGACCATAGTGTAACATATATAGATACTTAACTTAAAAGTTATAATGCAGCTTCCCAAGATCGTTACCCAAGGAAGACGACCTTTTCATATATAAAACAACCAAAAACACAAAACTCTGGGATACGGCTGAAAATAAATCTAAAAGGAACATAGAAATATACAAATAGTGAAGTACAGTTTATACACTCAATCATGCGCTGTACATAGATGCACTCACAGAATTATGTAGAATAGATCGCTCGTAGGGTGCCTCCCCCGATGAAAATAGGGGGCTAGTAATCCCTGGTTTCCTTATGGAGTTTTAGTAATACTCAGGACTTCAAACGGGAAATGGTAGGAAAAAAAACAAAAAAAAACAATGCTTTTTATTGTTAAAAAGGTGAATACTCACCATTAGTATAAAATATGATATAAAAAAAAAAAAACACATACCATTTTTTTCTTATATCATATTTTATACTAATGGTGATTATTCACCTTTTATCAATAAAAAGCATTGTTTTTTCCTACCATTTCCCGTTTGAAGTCCTGAGTATTACTAAGAAACTCCATAAGGAAACAAGGGATTACTAGCCCCCCATTTTCATCGGGGGAGGCACCCTACGAGCGATCTATTCTACATAATTCTGTGAGTGCATCTATGTACAGCGCATGATTGAGTGTATAAACTGTACTTCACTATTTGTATATTTCTATGTTCCTTTTAGATTTATTTTCAGATGTATCCCGGAGTTGTGTGTTTTTGGTTGTTTATATATGAACAAGATACTATAACTACCAGCGTTCGTAACAGTCATACCACTGATTTCAGTTAAACTGCTTTATAGTTTTATAATAATTTTTATTTTATTACATTTTTCAAGGAACTGTGCAGATAGCGGTTTTCATTATTTACCAATGTGACAGTATTCTAAGTCAGTATAACTTATTTTGTTATGGAAACATCCTGGAAAATATATAATAAAATTAGCAAATTTATTATTTTAAAATACTTGAATTACCGACATTAAACTTGCACTGCTTAAAGACAACAGAGGTTCTGTCCAGGAGTGTTTCTAGGTTCCAAACACCTGAGGCTACAGCCCAAGTTAAAACTCGATGACTTCTATACTAAGAGAGAGGTGGAGATATGTCATGACCTATCCCTGCCTCACTGAGTTATGTACCCTCCTCTACTCACGGACAACGTGCTTCTGATGGTCTTCAGGATCTAACAATGAAAGCATAGTTAGAAACATGCTCATTCTGCACAGCTAGGTATTCAATGTGACCTTGCAATATGACATAACTACCAGAACAGTGTACAACAAAGTTATTTTAACCATCACGCCCGCCTGACAATAACCTGGGGGGTCACCACCTCCTCCTGGAATAGTATACTACTGATCTTTCTTTTTATAAGAAGCTGCTATTTTGAGAAGCAGCTTCCTTATATGTTAATAAATAAAAATACTAATACCCTCCTGCCCCTTCCACCAACTGTAGCGATATGTGGCTACTGAGCCGCAGATCTGGGGTTTAAGCCCTCCAAGCCCTGCTAGCAACACCTATGGTTCTGAATAACTGATTTTTGGGAGTAAGTGGTGTAATCAAGACACGGTTAGTATCTGTGCTCTGTCATTTATTTATGTCTTTAATAATTGGAAAAAAAAAAAAGCTATTCAATTATTAGTATTCTTTGGCAAATTATAAGGAAAAAAGTATAAAAGGTGTGCCTGCTTTTGGATTTTTATTGAATTACAGCTTTTCAACACCCATTGTCAGGCATTATATACCAGATAAAGTCACATTTTTAAGAATAAAAGAGTTCCAAGTTTTAGAATAAAAAAAATTGCTAACGAGGTACACTCTTTTCATGTGCAAAGTTTATTTGAACATGTTCATATGTCCCTGATGAGGCGAAAATATGAGCAAATTGATTATGCATAATTTTCTAAAGAGCGTCATTTTTTAAATTATAGCCTCAAGTATGAATAGAAAGACTGTTGTAGACTTAAATACAATTTCACTATTGGCCAGTAGAAATTAAGACGTAGTTTGAAGGTATATTACGGAGTTAAGTGGTAGTATCATTACTAAGTTCTGTTCTCTTGAGACACATCCTGGAATGATTTTAGCAGATGGTTGCTGAGTAAAATCTCAGGTTTTGGAGAGAAAGTTGCATGTGATGAGGCAGATTAAAGTATCAGGAAGCAGTAAAAATGGAAATTTATTCCAACATGAATGTTTTGCTACAATGGATTTCAGACTGAAGTTCTTATTGTCCTCTTGGGGGCAGTAACTGTGTGTAGATGAGGTCTGGAACATTGCGAATCAGATGGTAGCATAGAACATATATTGGAATTGGCAGAATGCTTGCTTAGATAAATTTTATGGGGCATATTTTATAAGACTCTGGACTACGATCTACATTTTCTTTTTCATTTACAGCTTGAAAATACTACATAGGTACACTGAGGAATACCACATCAGAATTTGACCCCAGCATAATTAGAATATAAAGATTTATCCAGTTTTAATGGCATGAACATCAGTGGGTATTTTTCTTTAAATTCTAAATATTCCTCAAAGACCCCCAGAGGAAATAAATCTCCTGACACATTTTTATAAAGTGCTGCATAACGATGACAATTCTTCTTTTCCCAAACAATCTATAAGAAGCTAATAAAGTATGGATTTAAAATTAAACAAAAATATAGCTAACTGACGAAATGAACAAAAATATTTGTCCGACACCTTTTGATGATAGGATTTTTGTTATATTTGCTTTACAGATGATACATTAGGTACCATAAGTTTTTTTTCCCCCTTGATTTTGTTTGCAGGCCCTCAGTTTTGAAACCGTTTGATAATTCTATTTGCTGGAACACACTTACATTTTTACTCCATTACAGATTTGGGCTTGTTTACAGCATTGTTTCTACTTTTTACTGGTCAGCCATTACGAGGTACCCGCTAAAAATGTCGCCACTGAAAGTAATTATTTAGCATCAAAATTTTAATAGTGGCAAGCTGCTACAGAAAACCAGTCGTAGAGTAGAAAGTTATGGCTCCTATTATTTTCTACGGGAGATGAAACCGCTAAATAGTCACTGTTTTCTAACTCATTACAAACCCTGTTAGTTATTAATGGCTGTCACTAACTCAAAACACTTAACTCCAACTTTCGGCCTTGTGTAAAAAGGTTAACAACGTATAACATACAACATGTAAATTCCCTATACACAGTACTGAAACAAAACGTTTTGTTTCAACCCTAGTGCTAAGTTTTACCAACAGCCATTGCTTCTGTATTGCTACAGTCCTCACAGGCATGTGTTTATGTGCTTTACCAACAAGTCACAAATATGTAAGAGGTTAGCGTTTGTAGTAGAAGATCTTATTAGCCACGAAAATTTTGAAACAAGGTGTCAGGGCTTACCTAAATGGGAGTCTGTAGCGCAGATATATGTGCTCACCCTTGCAAGTAAACAGGCCAAGGTGGTCAGGTAAGAATTCACCTGGCTTGTGAGTCGGTGCACGGGGGCTGTGCAGGATGATGCTCCAAGTCGCAGTGCAGATATGGACATAAACCGGAGAATCGTCGTTGGTAAGCCAAAGGTCAGTGGGTGCCAGAAATCAGGATAAACCAGTAGAGAACTGAGGTCAGAGGATGCCAGAAGTCAGGATATACGGAGTAACAAGCCAGGGTCAGGAATCAACAGGAGCACACTGGAACACAAACAGCAATACAGAACCAGAGTCAATGAACTGACACTGACCTCAGGGAGAGGCAGTGTCTTATACCTGGCTAATTGGGCCATCAGCTTCAGGTGTGCTGAGAATATTGGAGCAGCCACAGATAACGTCCAGCCCCTAGTGCTGGGTACAAGGCAAGCTTGGACTATAGGCTATACTTGAGCTGTAAGGTGGCTCAGAGGAGAAACAACAGGCCCAGGACTGCAGAGTACTCAGGTTCAAATCCTTTACTGGGCACTTCTCTGGCAGTCTGAATGTCGCAGTGAGAACCGTGACAGTACCCCCCCTTCAAGAACACCCTCCGGGTGTGAATAGGTTCTTTGTAGAGGTTGGATTCCTCCTTTTCCTCTGAAAGGTCAAAAACATTCTCTGATAAGAGGTACATTCTCCCATAGGCACAATGCCATATGTATGGCCTTCTTTCATTTTTGGGGGAAACAAAGCACCCACAGTAGCTTTTGCTTTAGTAGTTCTCACAGGGGAGGCATTCACAGCTTGCAATGCTTTCTCGAACACCTCAAGATCCTGTTTACATACAACAGTGCCATTAGAAGCATATGTGCAGTCAGGTGAAAGAACTTCTTTGACAAGGCAGGAAGTGGTGATGTTGCTTGCTTGAACAGGTGTTTCTTCGGGTAAAGGTATAGACGTTTCTGGAGCAGGGACTTTCTCAGGAGTACTGGCTGTGTTGATTACTGTGGTCTGGGTTCCCTTTTGTGTCACGGAACAAGGACAGGCTAGACAGCAGCCTTGGCAGATTCCAGGCTGTTGCCGGGATGACAGGACGGATACAGACAGTACCTACTTGAACAGTTTTAGGCAGAGGTAGGTGAGTAGGGCAGAGGGAGATAAAGTGCCCTCTTTCTCCACAGTAGAAACATAGGCCACACCCTCTCCTACCGTCTCTCTCCTTAGGCGACAACCTAGTTCGAGTAAATCCAATCTCCATGGGTTCCTCCCTGTCCACTGGAGTTTCACGGCTTGCTTGAGTACAATCAGAGTGACAAGGCAGGTCCCTGAAGGTGGGTTCATACTGGAACAGGATGGAGTCATCTTTTTCTCTGGGTACCCAAGATCTGCGGAGTCCTGGAGCAGGCTTTGGAGTTGCTTTCCTGGAGGCAATGCACTGAGAGTCCATTGCCATCATGAACGACTCCCAGCTTTCCAAGACAGTGCTTTTCTCCTGCAGCTTCTGGTATGCCCACTCCTTAATCCGTCCAGAAAGTAAATTAATAGCAGACCGGATCTTGACAAAGTCTCTGTAATAGGTGCTGAGCTTAAGGGCAAGTATGAGCTCACAATCCATCCTAAATGATGTAAATGAGGAACGGGAACCATCAAATCTTCCAGGCATCACAACAAACGGCTCTAGATAAGCAGGTTCTGGAGCTGGGTGTACTGTGTCTTTAAGAAATGGAACTTCTTGCTGCAGCTCTGAAACAGTCTGGGTCAGGCTGGACACTTGCTGAGCAAGGGAGGTGAGCAGCTTACATATCTCTGCGGACTCCATAATGGTCAGTTCATCCTGTTAGGGCTTACCTAAATGGGAGTCTGTAGCACAGATATATGTGCTCACCCTTGCAAGAAAACACAGGCCAAGGTGGTCAGGTAAAAATTCACCTGGCCTGTGAGTCGGTGCACGGGGGCTGTGCAGGATGATGCTCCAAGTCGAAGTGCAGATACGGACATAAACAGGAGAATCATCGTTGGTAATCCAAAGGTCAGTGGGTGCCAGAAATCAGGATAAACCAATAGAGAGCCAAGGTCAGAGGATGCAAGAAGTCAGGATATACGGAGTAACAAGCCAAGGTCAGGAATCAACAGGAGCACACTGGAACACAAACAGCAATACGGAACCAGAGTCAATGAACTGACACTGCCCTCAGGGAGAGGCAGTGTCTTATACCTGGCTAATTGGGCCATCAGCTTCAGGTGTGCTGAGAATATTGGAGCAACCACAGATAACGTCCAGCCCCTAGTGTTGGATACAAGGCAAGATCAGACAAGATGGGCACTTCTGGGGTGACCTTGTCTGGCAGTTTGGATGTTGCGGTGAGAACCGTGACACAAGGTTGCAAACCAGGTGAAAATTTGTAGCCACTGTTGGCTTTTGCTAATAGTGAAAGTTTAGCACAGTTATTTACAGATGAGGTTGTAGAGCGCTAAGTGTAGCTAAAGTTTGTGGAAAGATCAAAAATAATTTTAAAAAATCCCAACTGATTGAAATTTATGCAAAATCTCCATCAACTCCACAGAAGGACGTCTATAGTTGCACAGGCAATGCGCTCAAAAATACAACCAGGGAGGGATGGGCAAATGGTAGATCCTTAGTTGGCAAACTATTTTAGGAGTAGTATGGCAGTTAAGGATCTACATCTATAGGGGCCCAAAATATTTTTTGTTTTGTTTGTGCATCAGCACCCTCTCTTCCATCAACACTGATGAACATCATCTCGTATCACTTGTGAATGACTTAAAATCCATATTTTAGATTACATGGGCAGAATTGCACTACACATCTGTTGTGTTTCTTTTAGGTTGGCTGTACCCAAACAACTCTCAAAAATTGAGTTCCTAAAGTTTCCGCAGAATTCTGTTGGTAGTCCTTTTTTTAGATCACATCTAATTTATTTTAAGATCTCATAGCAACGGAACACTGTTTTAAAAACACAGCTTTTTATGCAGTCCATGGTTATTCCTTAGACAATGTTTTTTTTTTAAATTGCAGTTTCTTTATCTTGAATTGGACGGGGCAGTTTATTCTAATGTAAACATAAAAAAAGTTGCAGCACATTTTAGCATCGCTATAACCATGGCTATCATTACAAATGCTTAGCATTATATTAATGAAAATGGCTTATTTTAGGTGTCAAGCTAATGAAGGAGAGAATATTTGGTGATATTTTATGTCCCATCAAATATTTATATATGCAACATAATTTAATGTAAATAAAATCAAAGTTTGAGAAATTAAGATTTTTTTTTTATTTTCCAAGTTCTGTTGGCATTTAACTGTACATTTCAAATTGTTGTTAGCTTTTACTCTATATATGTGTGTGCTCTGATGACCCATGAGTATGATCATGCCCCCATGTGCAGATTTTAGGGTTTTTTGGAAAGTTAAATGGTCAAATATAGGGCTACAATTTAAATTATGTAGTATTTCTCGTGGGCTGATATATTAATAACTAATAACTATTATTAATGATAGTATTATATATATTTATATTATTAATATTAAATTCATATATATATGAATATAATAATATCAAAATACACTTAGAATGGAATAATATATATATATATATATATATATATATTTATATATATATACATATACACACACACATATATATATATATTTATTTAAAAAATTTTTTACAAAAATTCTAATTCTAAAAATGCAATTTAATTTGGGATGATCTGAGAGATAAATACTTTCAGGTGAGAGGTTGTAGTAGAAATGTTTTATCACTTCACATATAAATGGATATTTATAAAGAAAATTTCCTCTCTTACATTTTTACTACATTATAACTCTGGTTTAATAATTTTGGTTGTTGCAGGGATCACATTATGACACACGTTGACATTGAACTATTTTACTTCCAATGATTTATTTCATGTCAATTGCTACTAGAAAATGCAAGCAGGTGGTTAAAATAGTCATTCTGGTAATGTCGACACCCTGTGGACTACATCCTTATTTTGCTGCCACTGGCAACTATTACTGATTAACTGAAAATGACAGAATTCCTCGAAGCTGATTAGTATTCTGTCGAGAACATGCATTACCAAGGAACTGGAGAAAGAGCTGGGTTTAAAAAATGAAAAGTAAACATTATCATTTTAAACTCAAGCATTGGAAACAATCATAGAGCAATAAAAAATGTTATATTTATTTATTGCACATTAGATTTGTATAGACTCTGGCATTTTTGAGAAGCTGATATGGGAAACATAAGATGGAAAGAGAGAGAGCAATAATTCAAGCTGCTACCAGACTGTGTAACCATAGCACTTTAATATAAATTTCTACTCATTATAATCCTTTATAAATTTATATAAGTTCCTACAAATTCCACCGCACTAGATACTGTAAAGGATGCACCAGGCAACAAAGCTACTAGGTCTTGGGAGTTCTGCCCATTGGATTATACTCTAATGAGAGAGGTGAGGAACGATAAGCTTCATACCACTAATATCATAGGCCGTCATTATTATTATTTACATTTATAGTATCAAGATGTTCCGCAGCGCTTTGTAATATTATGAAATGTGAATTTAACAATAAATGAGACAATTACAAAATGTTACTGGAACAATAGTTTGATGAGGACATGGCTCGAAAGAACTTACAATCTAGAGCAGAGGTAGGCAACCTTCAGCACGCCAGGTGTTCTGGACTACATCTCCCATGATGATTTGCCTGCATTATGGCTGTAAGAGTATTATGGCAGATGTAGTCCACAACATCTGGAGTGCCATAGGTTGCTTACCCCTGATCTAGAGGATGTGGGGTAGAAAAACACAATAGGTAGGGCAGCATTGGGGATAGAAATCAGTATGGGAAGATGTTGCATTGAATGGTTATAATTTAGTGTGGCACTTTAGTGGATCCTAATTTAGTGGATCCCCACTGGGTTTCCTAAAGCATGAACCCTTCTGTAATATATTGCATATGAAATATGCTATAATGTTATCAAAACTACACATAAAAGCAACAGTGACACCACTGGGTTCCTAATTTAAAGGGATATTATAGTGACCCAGACCACTTCAGCTCAATGAAGTGATCTGGGTGCTAGTTCCCCCAGATTTAAACCCTTCAGATGTAAACATAGCCGTCTCAAAGAAACAGCTATGTTTACATTGCAGGGTTAATCAAGCCTTTAGTGGCTGTCTTCCTGACAGCCGCTAGAGGTGCTTCTGTGACGCTGGAATGCGAAAATCGCATCCAGCATGTAGAACGTCCATAGGAAAGCATTGAGAAATGCTTTCCTATGCAATGTTTTAATGCGCGCGCGACTCTTGCCGCGCATGCGCATTCGGCTCCACTCGGGAGCTAACGTCGGCGGGGGCAGAGAGGTCACCAGCGCTGAGCGATCCCGGAGCTGTATTAAGGTAAGTGGCTGAAGGGGTCTTAACCCCTTCAGCCCAGGGGGAGGGGGACCCTGAGGGTGGGGGGACCCTTAGGATTGTATAGTGTCAGGAAAATGGGTTTGTTTTCCTGACACTATAGTGATCCTTTAATAATTCCAAGGAGTCTTAGGTCACACTGTGAGTTCTTCTGATATATTACTTTTTATTTAGAATATCCTGTATGGTTTGTTTGTAGAGATTTGATATTTTTTCTGTAAAGACTTGACATGTTAGGTTTTTACAAGTGAAACAAATTAAACCAGAAAAAATAAATACATATATATTAAAGGCACACTTCTAAATCTTACCTTTGCCGATGTTTCATACCAGCCAACAAAACCGTGCTCTTTGCAAAACTGGTCCAGTTTGATGCCGTTGTTTTTGAGCCCATCTTTTCCCTGATCACATTTGTTGGCTAAAAGCACAGCTGATACAGGTGTGCCATTAGATAGAGTCAATTTTGAGTCTAAATCTTCTTTCCATTTTGTCACAGCTTCAAATGTTGCTGGCCTTGTGACATCAAAGACAATAAATGCTCCAACAGCTTCTCGATAGTAAACTCTTGTCATGTTTCCAAACCGTTCTTGGCCTATCACAAAGACATTTCAAGGGGAAACGCATTTTATTTACATGAAAAGCAACATTTTCTGTACTGTTCTTTTAGGAAATATGATTCAATGTAATATAGTGTGATTAAAATCTAAAAGTTTGTTTTTTTCTTTTTAGAGTTTTTTCTAATGTTCTTGTCTTCACATTTTTTTTGTGTCAAATCAATATTTTTATTGAGACACATATTAGAGAAACTTTTCAGTACAATGGTGACAATAAAATACATTAACTTGCAAAAGGTATATGATAATATCAGTGCTTGTGCTAAGCTCCAATCATGTTACAGATATGTCCTACACTACATGCACCACACACAAACACACTGCATGCACTACAAACACACTGCATCCACAATGCACACACACACAAACACACAATGCATTCACTACACACAGTGCATACAATACACACTACGTGAACCATACACACTGCATGCACTACACACACTATGCACTTCACATATACTACATGCACTACAAACACACTTCATCCACTATACACACTGCATACAAGACACACACTACATGCACTACACACTACATATACTACACACACACATTGTATGCACTACACACACTGCATCCACTATAAACACACATACACACACACAATGCATTCACTACACATACTGCATACAATACACACTGCACGCCCTACACACACACTGCATATAATACACACACTGTATGCACTACACACACACACTGCATCCACTATACACACTGCATACAAGACACATACTACATGCACTACACACTACATATGTTACACACACATATTATATGCACTACACATACTGCATATTATACACAGTGCATGCCCTACACACAAACTGCTCACAATACACACACTGCACCCACTATACACACACACTGCATCCACTACACTGCATGCAATATACACACTACATACACTACACACACTGCATGCACTACACAAACTGCATCCACTACACACACTGCATACAAGACACACACCACATGCACTACACACACAGACACTACATGCACTTCACACACACTGCATCCACTATATATACACACACACACAATGCGTTCACTACACACACTGCGTACAATACACACAGACACTTCATCCACTGTACACACACATAATGCTTTCACTACACACACTGCATACAATACACACACTGAATCAACTAATGAATGTGGACATGGTTTAGATTTTGGTGAGGGGGGGGAGTCAGCATTTCACCCTTGGACCCTGGCAACACAATGTCTTGGACCAGCCCTGGATCCTTTAATATTAAAGAAGGTAGAAAGAACGACAGTGCTAGTAGAATATAACAAGATTAGTTAAAACAGAACTTAAAGCACTAGTTTCAGGTACAGCAAGCAGAGTAAGTACACAGGAGAGCCTTAAGAGTAATTAGAGTAAGCAAGAAATGCCACAACAGGCAGAGACACTTAAAGTCTCAGTATTATGTAGCCTTCACCCAATGCCCAATTTAGGTAAGAGTAGTGCCTGCATGTCAGGACTGTCCATGAGTGCACTCTGAATAGATCCAAGCGAGCACCAACACCGACTACGAGCTGGAATTAGAGCCATCACCAATTCTCCCTGGACCCAGCTATTAATCATGCTCAAGGTCATCTCTTCTCTTAATATTTATCTAGTGTTTTGGAACATTCTCTCTCTTGATTTAAGTTCTACAAGCTCTCTGATAATAAAATTGCTATCTCTAAATTCTTTTCTAATTTTTTGCCATACTTTCTGCATCTGTACCTGACTTGTCTATCTCAATATCTCATAGTTGTGAGAGTTGCAACAATAACCCAATGTCGACCCTGATTTATAGAATGTGTAATTGATTATTGAAGGTGTGGTTATGGTTAGACTAATTATATATACTATATATGTAACAACACACTAAACCATATATTACAACAGTCCTGATTTTGCCAGGACTGTCCCACAGTTTGGGTTACTGTCCCTGCAAAAAATGGGACCTGACCCGTATTTTGAAATCTGACAGAAAAATTTCAAAATGCAAAAAGGAGCAAGATGCTAATTTTATGACTGGTCCTGCCCCTTTCATGGGCGGGCCTGCCTGCCTGTGCAGTCTGCTCCCTTGCCCACCCAAATCCAGAAGGTGGACAAGTAAGATTGCTAGGAAGGAAAAATTTAGACTCTGCATAGCTGCAATAAAACATTAAAACATGAGAAATAATTAACACATACAGAATCTCAGAGGAGAAATATTATAAGGGCCCTCCAGACTGCTAAAACACTTCTGCTTGTTGAAGTGCTTTAAGTGTGAAGAGTGAATCCTCTCTTTCAGTAGAATTTGGCACTATTATAACTTGTTACACTGTTGGCTGTCAGTTACATTACCGGTCCTGTCACTTCCTGGTTGTTTAGCTCAGTGGAACTTAAATGGACACTAGAGTCACCAGAACGACTACAGCTTAATATAGTTATTCTGGTGAGTATATTCAGTCTTTGCAGGTGTTTTTTCAGTAAAAACTGTCTTTTCAGAGAAAATGCAGTGTTTACATTACAGCCTAGGGATACCTCCAGTGACTACTCCTCATATGGCTACTAGACGTGCTTTCTAGAGCAGTGCTGCACAGTGTGACATTCAGTGTCTCCAGCCGATAGAGATGCTGAACATTTCTCATAGACATGCGTTGATTCAATGCATCTCTATAAGAAATACTGATTGGCCAGGCGTTAAGTCCTAACTCTGGCCCACCTCCTTGGCTGAGATCACCAGAATGACAATCTTAGTCAATCCAATGCTTTCCTTTGCATTGTGATTGGACGAGATTATCACTTCTGATTATATCCGCCAATAAGGCAGATCAGGGGCAGAGCCAGCACCAGCAGACTGGAATAAAGGTAAGATTTTACTATAGTTATGGTGGGCAGATGGTCCTGACCCTATAAAATCACATACAATTATCACATGCATACATTCACATCACATTAAGAGGATGGAGTCACAACCATGTTGTTCCTTTTGAAATAACAAAGCAGTTTTTTCCCTGACACTGAGTAAAGTTAAGACAACAACGTCATTACAAATGCCTTTTCAGACAATGGTATAATCCAATTTATGACTTCAAAAAACTAAAACCACTTTAATAGAGCCTAAGACAATGAGCAAATACAGATGTGTTGAATCTGCTGAGTCATAAACCTTTTGAATGTGTAATGAACAAATAGAGGGAAAATCAAACCGTAACCTCGAACGTCTCCATATCTCTGGTCAGAGAAATAAAGATGGGGGTTGCTATTAGTTAATGTCTGAAATTTAAATAATACAATTCCATGAGTATTATATTTGAAATGCAAAAAGTTAAGAATTCCATTATTTTCATAATAATTTTGATACAATTATATAACATAGAACGCTATAAATAATGGCACACTTGTTTTAGAGATCGTTTAATTTCTAGGGCGTCAGTCTATGAAAACAAACAGATAAAGCTTTGAATAGATATGACTGCACTCGCCGTTACTTTATCTTCAATATATCTTTTTTATTGTTCCATAATACGAAATTTCGCATGACTGTGGTACGGAGTTTGAGGACCTAACACTGGGTATCACTTGTCCCACAGTCATGTGAACTTTCGTATTATATTATATATATAGATTATCCAGATTCATAAAGATATATATATGTGGCAAACGTGCCTATGCCACGAGCTCCTGGAGTATCCTGCTAGCTAGCCTCTTGCCCAAGGACTATGGACAGTATCTAAAGACCTTGTTCGGGAGTTAACCTGCCCGGCCTCCACAAGCAGCATTGCCTTGGTGTCCCTGGTTTGGCACTTTCCAAACGCTAGCTCCCTGGTATTAACCAAACCCATGAATGATCCTCAGTGGTACTAATCTGCGACCGCTATGAAATTAATTTCAGCATGAGTACTTCATGGGTCCCCGATCACCTCAGCGGTAAATAGCTGCGAATGTTATGGAACAGTTTTTGGCGTGAGGTGACCGTGCGGTTCCCGGACAAGTTGGTCTGCGGTTTAACACCACTTTGCAACCCGCCAGGAGAGTGCTTTTTGGAGGAAAGGTGGATGTGACTAAGGGGAACAAATGCCACCTGAGAGCCAGACGGAGCACCCTGTATTTCAGACGCAAGGGGCTCTTGAAAGTTGACCGGCAAAAGCATCAAATGCCCTGGAACTCTTTTGGGCATAGAAACATGTGTGCGGCCGGTCAGAACTTTAACACAGTGACATGTCCCCTAAACTGCATGGATCTGAGTGCTATTTGAAGAACTCGGGCACAGATCAGGGCTATTTGGGGATGTATTATATGTGGGCAGGGCCGCCATCAGAAATTTTGGTGACCCTAACACAGCTCAAGATCTGGGCTCCTGGGGGGCCGCCACCAAGCCCAGCCCAAGGCCCACAGGAATGCACACACAGACATAAACAAAGACACACACACTGATACAAAAGGACACAGATACACGCACACAAAGGTACACACATAGTGACACATACATATACATACTAACAGACACATATACTGAAAGAGACATACACACATATACAGACACACAGACATACATAGTGACACAAAGATACATACTAACATACATACAGACACACACATGAATAAGAACATACACACACACATATACATACATACTGACATACATACAGACACATACATACATACTGACATACATACATATATACATATATACATACATACTGACATACTGACAAACATACATACATACTGACATGCATAGTGACATACATACTGACATTCATACATACTGACATAGAATGTGATGGCAGATAAGAACCATTCGGCCCATCTACTCTGCCCAATTTTCTGAATATTTTATTAGTCCCTGGCCTTATCTGATAGCTAGCTAGGATAGCCTTATGCCTATCCCACGCATGCTTAAACTCTTTTACTGTGTTAACCTCTACCACTTCAGCTGGAAGGCTATTCCATGCATCCACTCCCTTCTCAGTAAAGTAATACTTCCTGATATTATTTTTAAACTTTTGCCCCTCTAATTTAAGACTATGTCCTCTTGTTGTGGTAGTTTTTATTCTTTTAAATATAGTCTCCTCCTCTACTGTGTTGATTTTCTTTATGTATTTAAATGTTTCTATCATAAACCACCCGTCTCGTCTTTCCTCCAAGCTATTCCTAAAGTTCCTTTAACCTTTCCTTGTAAATTTTATCCTGCAATCCATGAACCAGTTTAGTAGCCCTTCTCTGAACTCTCTCTAAAGTATCAATATCCTTCTGGAGATACAGTCTCCAGTACTCCGTGCAATACTCCAAGTAAGGTCTCACCAGTGTTCTGTGCAATGGCATGAGCACTTCCCTCTTACTACTGCTAATACCTCTCCCCAGGGCCGGCCTTAGGCAATTAGGCGCCCTGTGCAAAAAGTCTTCACGGCGCCCCCCCCACCTCCCACCAAGTTGCCTGAATACAGTAACACACACAGGCACCGGGGACGTGTGTATCACGAGGCAAACAAGGCATCTGCCTTGGGCGCCACTTTGCAGGGGGCGGCAAAAAAAAGCATCCCTCCAAACCCCCAGGCAGATCCCTTGCTTGCCTCGCATCCTGGGGGGCTCAAGAGCTGACCGGCTGGCCACTTTTGAGCCCCCCCAAGGCTGGCAGCGGGCAGCGAAGGAGCATACTCACCTGAGCTCTTCCTGCTCAGCTTCCTCTGCGCCGCTTAATGAAGCCGGGAGCCAGAATATGACGTCAGTCCGGCTCCCGGCATCACTAAGCGCTGCTTACTCAGCCTGTGCGCCCCCTGCCTGCCTGCCCAGCAGCCACACTGGACTGCTGGTAAGAAATCCACTCCAGCTTTCCCAGGGAGGCTGGGTGGATTTAAAATAAATGTAAAAAATATTAGTTTGTGAGTGTTGGTGGAAATGTCTGTGTGTGTGTCTGTGAGTGTTTATTTTGAAGTGAATGTGTGTGTGTGTGTGTGTGTGTGTGTGTGTGTCTGTAAGTGTGTAATTGTGTGTGTCTGTAAGTGAATGTGTGTGTGTCTGTGAGTGAATGTGTGTGTTGGTCAGTGAGTGTATATGTGTCAGTCAGTGAGTGTGTATGTGCCAGTCAGTGAGTGTGTATGTGCCAGTCAGTGAGTGTGTATGTGCCAGTCAGTGAGTGTGTATGTGTCAGTCAGTGAGTGTGTATGTGTCAGTCAGTGAGTGTGTATGTGTCGTCAGTGAGTGTGTATGTGTCGTCAGTGAGTGTGTATGTGTCGTCAGTGAGTGTGTGTAGGTCAGTGAGTGTGTATGTGTCGGTCAGTGAGTGTGTGTCGGTCAGTGAGTGTGTGTCAGTCAGTGTGTATGTGTCGGTCAGTGGAGTCGTGCATCTTTCAGTGAGTGCTTGCGCCTGTCAGTGAGAGTGTGCATCTGTCAGTGTGTGTCCAAGTAATAGTGTATGTGTGTATGTCGTTGTTTGTCAGTGTATATGAGAGTGTGTGTCTGTCAGTGAGTGTGCGTCTGTCAGTGAGTGAGCATCTGTCAGTCAAAGTGCGGCCTTGACAGGAAGGGGTGGGGGAAATTTAAACTCGGTTACAGGCATGTACACACACACTCAGTTAAAGGCAGTCACACATACAGGCACAGGCACAGGCACAAACAATGGCACAGCTACAGCGACACACACAGACAGACAGTCACATAGGCAGTCACACACACAGACAGACACACAGTAACACACACATAGACAGTTATACACACACAGGCAGGCAGTCACACAGATAGAAAGTCACACACACAGGCGGGCAGTCACACACAGACAGATAGTTACAGACAGACACACACAGGCAGGCAGGCAGTCACATACAGGCAGTCACACACACAGGCAGTCACACACACAGACAGACAGTCACACACACAGACAGTCTCACACACACAGGCAGTCACACACACGGGCAGTCACACAGACAGACAGTCACACAGACAGACAGTCACACAGACAGACAGTCACACACACAGGCAGTCACATACATGGGCAGTCACACAGACAGACAGTCACACACACAGACAGTCACACACAGGCAGGCAGTCACACACAGAGACAGTCACACACAGAGACAGTCACACACACACACAGAGACAGACAGTCACACACACACACACACACAAGGACAGGCAGTTACACAGACAGTCACACACACACACAGACAGACAGTCACACAAACAGGCAAACAGTCACACACACACACTTACCTCTTTCCAGTGGATGCAGTTGGCTGATGGGAAGCATCTTTCCCTCTTCCTGTACAGCAGGGGCTTCGGGAGGTATTAGCCCCGTCTCCGCCTCTCGATAAGCCCCGCCTCCGCCGCTCGGTAAACCCCGCCCCCTCTGCCGCGATTTTTTTTTTTTTTTTTAAATAGACCCGGGTGGAGAATAATTAATCCTCCAGCCAGGTACCTCTTTTAGCTCCCCTCCACTCCGGCCATGAGTGAGCTGTGTCGGCCACAGGGCGCCCCCTGTTCCATGGCGCCCTGTGCGGTCGCACAGCTCGCACACCCCTAAGGCCGGCCCTGCCTCTCCCTATACAACCAAGCATTCTGCTAGCATTTCCTACTGCTCTATTACATTGCCTGCCTACCTTTAAGTCATCAGGAATAATTACCCCTAAATCTCTTTCCTCACATGTTGAGGTTAGGACTCTTTCAAATATTCTCTACTCTGCCCTTGGGTTTTAACGTATAAGATGCATTATCTTGCACTTATCCACATTAAATGTCAGCTGCCGCAACTCTGACCATTTTTCTAGTTTACCTAATTTGGTTTATCCCTCCTGGAAAATGAACCCTGTTACATATCTTAGTATCATCAGCAAAAAGACACACCTTACCATCAAGACCTTCTGCAATATCACTAATAAAAATATTAAAGAGAATGGGTCCAAGTACAGATCCCTGAGTTACCCCACTGGTGAAAAGTCCAAGCTTTGAATATATTCCATTAACTACAACCCTCTGTTGCCTGTCACTTAGCCACTGCCTTACCCATTTAACAATATTGGAATCCAATCTTAAAGATTGCAGTTTATTGATAATCCTTCTATGTGCAACAGTGTCAAAAGCATTACTGAAATCTAGGTAAGCAATGTCTACTGCACCACCCTGATCTATTATATTAGTTACCCAATCAAAAAAAATGAATAAGATTATTTTGGCAGGATCTCCCTGAAGTAAACCCATGTTGTCTCTGATCTTGAAATCCATGTGATTTTAGATGTTCATCAATCCTATCCTTTAACATGGTTTCCATTACTTTCCCCACTACTGAAGTAAGGTTTATTGGCCTGTAGTTGCCCGACTCCTCCCTACTACCTTTCTTGTGAATGGGCACAACATTCGCTAACTTCCAATCTTCTGGGACTACTCCTGTTAACAATGATTGGTTAAATAAATCTGTTAATGGTTTTGCTAGTACACCATTAAACTATTTTAATAACTTTGGGTGTATTCCATCAGGTCCCATTATTTGTCTTTACTTTTGACAGTTGTAAACTCACATGTAACAAAAGACTAATTTGTCCTTTTTCCCAACTGAGGACCCTTTTCTTAATTTTCATCTGTAAATACTGAACAAAAATATTCATTAAGGCAGTCAGCTAGACCTTTATCCTCTTCTACATACCTTACTTCTTTTGTTTTTAATCTAACTAAACTAAAGGCAAAGGAAATGTTTTTTTACTGTAAGAACAATAAGGATGTGGAATTCTCTGCCTGAAGAAGTGGTTTTATCAGAGTCCATACAGATGTTCAAACAGTTACTAGATGCATACTTGCAAAAACAGAATATTCAAGGATATACTCTTTCAATGTAGGGTAATAACTGCTTGATCCAAGGATAAATCTGACTGCCATTCTGGGGTCAAGAAGGACATTTTTTCCTAGCTTGTTGCAAAATTGTGCTTCAAACTGGGTTTTTTTGCCTTCTTTTGCCTTCTTTTTGATCAACAGCAAAAAACAAATGTGAGGAAGGCTGAACTTGATGGACGCAAGTCTCTTTTCAGCTATGTAACTATGTAATCCTTGTTTTACTTTTCTTTTTTCATTTATGTATCTAAAAAATGTTGTGTCCACATTTTTTTACTGACTGTGCTATTTTCTCTTCTGTGTGCCTCTTTCTGCCTAATCTTATAGATCTGTCTATCTTCCTCATGCTGTTTTTTTTTTTTATAATTACTAAATGCTAACTTTTAGTTTTTTACTATTTTGGCCCCATCTGCGGAGTACCACGGTGGTTTCTTAATTTTTTTACTTTTACTGACAAGACTACTGTAATTTTCTGTTGCCTTCAGCAGTGACACTTTTAAATAATCCCATTTCTCTTGGACTCCATTTAAAATGCTCCAGTCTGATAATGTCTCCTTTACACATATTCTAATTTTAGAAAAGTCTGTTTTTATAAAGTCTAAAACTTTTGTTTTTGTGTTGTGTGACTCTGTCACTGTTCTTACATTAAACCACACTGACTGATGATCACTGGATCCTAAACTTTCACAGTGATACCCGATAGCAAACCTCCATTTGTTAACACTAAATCTAGTATGGCTTCTTTACAAGTTGGCTCCTCAATGACTTGTTTTAGAGACAATCCCAGTAGGGAGTTTAGAATATGTGTGCTCCTGGCACAAGCAGCTATTTTGGTTTTCCAGTTAACATCAGGAAGATTCAATTTCCCCGAACATAAATTTAAGGGATTTTCTGCTCTGGCGCATGTTTATGGTCTGGGAAATTTACCTCTACCTCTAATCTATGCTCAGGAAATTTTCCCTAACATAGATTTATGTTATTTATGACAATTATGATGGGCCTAATTACAGGAACTTATCGACAGAAAACACTAAAAGAGTTTCATGTATCTGGTGGAGGGGATGCTGGAGGGAAACTCACAGGATAAAGCTATCAGAAAACACATACCCTATGCTAATATCTCGCTTTCATCTCTCAAGTGAATCCTTCTCCCCTAACAGCAGTGTCCAGTGAAGCAGGACGTCGGTGGGTGGGATAAAAGGATGGGCCACTGACGCGAGTCACATAACTGGCACGGCCCAAAGAGGCTAACATGCCTAAAAAAGGGGTGGCATATCTGCCTGAAAAATTGGAAGGCCAGCCTGACATGAATGCATTTCAGGCTGCCTGCCATTCATGCATGCTGGCCAACTATGGGCGTGTTATAGAGACAGTGCCCTAAGCTTGGAATAAATGCATCTAATGATTTGCTTGCTCCACGCTTTCTAAGGACAGTCCCCTAACACTCACTTGTCCCCTCCTCTCCTTACCTTCTTACTAGCAGGCAGAAGCTTCTGTTATACAATCTAGGACAGAAAAAATGGTGTAGGTAGTGAGTGTAAAAGAAAGGGAACATGCCACAGTGTCAGAGAGACTGAAGCAGCAAGAGCATTTGCATAGTGCACAAATTCAGCTTTACTTTAACTAATTTAATTGTCAGCCAGTCAGCACCAGGTTTGTTCCCCTACATCCCTCTTAAGTTTCCATACTTAAGCAAGAGTGTGAGAAGAGCAGTAAAATACATATATATATATATATATATATATATCTTTTTTAACACTGGGCCTGTTCCATGGACATGGACCTGGAGCTGCAACTCCATCAGCCCCTATGTTAATCCAGCCCTGCTTATGATAGAATCCCCCAACAACAACTGCTTTCTATTAGGACTCACCAAATTCTCCAAGCCTGTCTCCATAACACCACTACACTCAGTGCCTGAGAGTGTCTCCATAAAACCACTACCCTCAGTGCCTGAGCCTGTCTCCACAACACCACTACCCTCAGTGCCTGAGTCTGTCTCAACAACACCACTACACTCGGTGCCTGAGCTTGTCTCCCCAACACCAATACACTCAGTGCCTGAGCCTGTCTCGACAACACCACTACCCTCAGTGCCTGAGTCTATCTCCACAACACCACTACACTTGGTGCCTGAGCCTGTTTCCATAACACCACTACACTTGGTGCAGAGCCTGTCTGCATAACACCACTACACTTGGTGCAGAGCCTGTCTGCATAACACCACTACACTTGGTGCCTGAGCCTGTCTCCACAGCACCACTACAATTGGTGCCTAAGCCTGTCTCCATAACACCATTACACTCTGAAAGTGCTGAAAATAAATTATGCATTGAATGAATTATGAATTATGTATATAAGTGAATTATAGGCAGTCTGGCCTATCCTATCCCATTATCCCTTTGAATCTTTACAGTTTACATTTTAGTGACTAAATCCCCATAATTGTACTCTGGGTGCATGCGCGTAATATAGTAGTAAAATACTAGGGATAACTTGATAACGGATCTTCCTCTCTCACTATTTGAGCATTTACCATATTTTTGACTATAACTTTTTCATTCTTCATACTGTGCATGAAACCATTATATAATGTGACTAGATAACAATGTCGGGTTGATCACTAGTAATTAATAAACTGATTAATTTAATGTCCTGATTGACTTTGTACATTCAGTAATAATGTTTCTGTAGCTACCTTCCATCATAATTGGGGCTGACCAGGACTGGAACCTTAACTAGGATTATGAAAAGACTAATCTGACAGCCCCCAAATCTCCTGTAATATTAAGAGAGAAATAATCCCTCCAATTAGACAATTTGAGAGAGTGTCCCTTTAAAGTACCCCGGTGTTAGAGTAATGCTGTTAATTCAGGGTTTTAATATAGTGGGGATATGGTTAATGCTGCAAGTTTGGGGCTAATGTTGGCAGTGCAGGGTTAATCATATGGTTACAGTGTAAATACAGTAGGTGTGCAGTTTATAAATATAGGTTCATATAATCTGAATTCATTCAAACATTTGGTGTCATAATGTCTTTGATTTTTTTTGACAGTATATGTTAAGGCTTAGGGATGGGTGCCTTAGGTTATAGTATAGGATGTGATTTTGGGAGAGGTGTAAGTAAACATATATGTGGTAAGAACTATCAAATATACCCTTGAGATGAATCCCTGGTATAAATGCCACCTAGCAATAAGTTGGGTTGATTTTGTTATGTGTGATGAACCCTGCATAAAATGAGTCAAAAGATATTTAAAAAAAAACCAAACTCTTATTTGCTAGCTGCCTGCCTTCTGAGACCGAGACTCACCACTTCCAGTGTTTTTGTTTTTTTCCAGAGTCATTTAAAAGCAAAGAAATCTGACAGGCATCCAGGACCAAAATGGCCGCCTCGGACACCAAATCAAGCTATTCTGTCCATGATTATTCTCTCTCTCCAGGAGTCTGCCAATCCCACAACCACAACTGAATAATATGTAAATGGAGGGTGCAAACTAATGTAAGAGTCATTAAACATAAAGTGCCAGTAACAAAAATAAATAAATAATATAAATATATATATCTAAAATGCACAGCAACCCCAGTCTAAAAGTGTTTCCTGGTTAACCCCTTAAGGACTGGACTGTTTTTGCGATGTTGTACATTTGCGACCAGGAATATTTTTACACTTTTGTGGTGTTTGTGTTTGGCTGTAATTTTCCGCTTTCTCATTTACTGTTCCCATACAAATTATATATTGTTTTTTTCAGGACAAAATGGGCTTTCTTTACATACCATTATTTATATAATCTCATGTATTTTAATTTAAAAAAAATACAAAAATCTGATGAAAAATTGAAAAAAATACATGTTTTTTGACTTTTACTTGAAAAATCTTTTACTCATCTACAAAAGCGAATGAAAAAAACTGCTAAATAGATTCAAAATTTTGTCCTGAGTTTAAAAATACCTAGTGTTTACGTGCTTTTTTGCTTTTTTTTGCATGTTATAGGGCTATAGGTACAAGTAGGATATTGCGGTTTCAAAACATACATTTTAAAATTTATCAATAGTGACATTGTAACACTATTATCTGTCATAAATCTCTGAATAACACCCCACATGTACATATTTTTTTTAAAGTAGACAACCCAGGGTATTCAATATGGGGTATGTCCAGTCTTTTTTAGTAGCCACTTAGTCGAAAACACTGGCCAAAGTAAGCATTCATATTTGTTTGTGTGTGAAAAAAGTAAAAAAACTAAATTGAACGCTAATTTTGGCCAGTGTTTGTGACCAAGTGGTTACTAAAAAAGACTGGACATACCCCATTTGCAATACCTTGGGTTGTCTTCTTTTGCAAATGGTATGCCATCATGGGGGTAATTCTCATTCCTGGGCTACCATACGCTCTCAAAGGCAACGTAACCAACCTGGCCATTTTCAATGTAAAAATATTTGACCCATATATTTGACCTTGTAACTTTCAAAAATGCTATAAAACCTGTACATGGGGGGTACTGTTTTCGGAGACATTTGAACACAAATATTAGTGTTTAAAAACTGGAAAACGTATCACAACAATTATATCATCAGTAAAAGTGCTGTTTGTGTGTGAAAAATGCAAAAAAAGTAACTTTCACTGACAATATCATCGCTGTGATATGTTTTACTGTTTTGAATCACTAATATTTGTGTTCAGCGAAGTCTCCCGAGTAAAACAGTACCCCCCATGTACAGGTTTTAGGGTGTCGTAGAACGTTACAGGGTAAAATACAGTGCTAACAAATTAAATTCTCTGGAATTTCGGCCTGGGTTGGCAGGCAGGTCCCTCAAATTGCAATCAATAAAATTACTGAATTATGTAAAAATATTACATAAATACGCACGTAGAATTTAAATATATATGCATATTTATATATTTGAAGTCTACGTGTATATTTATATAATTATTTATGTAATTTTGTATATGGACATATGTATATTTCTTATTATTTTTATTTATTTTTATATACATAGATATATATACAAATTCATTCTAAGTGTATTTTGATATAAATATATATATATTAATTTTAAAATACAGTTAGAATAAAATTTCATATAGCTATATAATTTTTTAAATTTTTTATTATTTTAAAAATTTTTTATTTAATTTAAATTACTTATTATTTATATTTTATAATAATATATATATACAATATATATAGTTATTATATATATTATATATATACGTGTGTAATTTAATTATAAGTGTATTTTTATATTAATATAAGTACATATTAATATAAAAATACACTTAGTATGACATTATATATATATGATATATAGACATATATTATATAGATATAATATATGTCTATATATCATATTTATACATATATAATTATTATTATTTTTTTATTACCATTAACTTTTATTTTTATTTTTTGATTTTACACTGCAGGGAGACTGCCTGTCAGCACAGGCAGTCCCCCTGCAGGCAGCACTATGGACACCTATTGTGACCATGTGATCGCTGTGTTAAGCGATCACATGGCCACAGGGGTCCTAATCTGCCGTGGGGAGACTGTCTGGGCTGCAGGCAGTCTCCCCACAACCGGAGGAACACTGATCGCCGCCGGGGGAACGACGGCGATCAGGTAAGTACCCCCAGACCGTTTGGACGGTTCAGGACCGTCATCGGTCGGCAAGGCAAAAATGCCGATGACGGTCCTGAACCGTCCTCGGTCCTTAAGGGGTTAATCATAAAAATTACAAAACACATTAATGATTGGCTGGGTATCAATTTTCCATTTTTATATTTCACCATGACTAATAAATATTTAAGAACATCATGGCCATCTTTCTCATTCCTGCTCTAGAGCTCTGGGTTACAGTGACACTGAGAAAAACCAAATCCATTAGTGTAGAGCAGGACTGCCCAAAAGGTCCAGAGATGGTGTAAAACTACAGCCCCCATGATGCTTAGCATGTCTTTAGGATGACAAAGCATCGAGTAAGCTGTAGTTTTAAAACATCTGGGGATCTACTGTAGAGCTATTGGGTCCCTGAGATTCTAGTAAGTAATCCCACGCTCTTATATACTTTCCTAATGCAGATCGTAGAAAATTGACGCGGCATCCCAAACTCTCTTGGATTAAATGCTGAGGTCTTACAGACCCCATATGTGTTTTTTGTTTTATTTTATGAATTTAGCATTTCCCTTAAGGCACCACAGAAGGAAGCAGTGCATTGCTACTCTCTACTCTCTGGCACTGATGGGATTATTTCATGCCTACAAACATGACCAGTTAATATATGTCAAGTGTGGTACATCACGTATAGCTCACGTGCTGTGAGATTACACCAGAAAATTGCATTTTTTTGTACTCTTAAAAAACCACAACGCCATCCACTGAAAGAGTAATAGTGATGTGGCTTCCATGTTTTCCTTTGAAAAGATATTGCTCCGGCTGTAGGCTAATTGCTTCTGACAGCACATTTTGCAAAAATTTTGGTTAAACGATAGATTGTATTTAATTTTCTATTGATGCTGGTGATATTTTCTTAGATAATAGACTTACAGTCTATTTTTGGAATGCTTATAATGCTCTGAAGTTATAAAGACAAAAACATCCAACGTTAAAATAATAGTTGCTATTAAAGCAATCGGTGTATTATTACTATTTTAGTGTACGTTTTAACAGTCTGTCTTTAATTTTCTACAATTCAGACTTTAGCAAATAAATCCCTATTAAAATCTACAATCCGCCACAATTGCTACATTTCTTTCCTTTCCTTATTTTTGAACATCTTTGTTTGTAACTTCTCACAATTAGGGCTTGTTTCAGCTTTCCTACAAATTTTTCATGCATTTAATCTTTCTCACATGCTGTAGTAGAGTAATGGAATTCCCAGTCTCGGGACTTCAAAATCCAGGAGGGGAGATAGTTATTTAAAGAATGCACAAATGAAAATCTGTATCCGCTTGCAAACGCCACTCGAGGGAATGAGAACTTTCTGTTAACTTATTATAATTTGCCAATGTTAGCCAGGTGAGTCTTTTTGATACTTTTTAGGATTTAGGAAACATTATTTGTTCTAGTAACAGCAAATATTGATTTCACTGTTGTGAAATTGTTCGTTGTTCTTATCTTCTCCTGACGATCAAACAGGTGTATGCATGCCTTTTGTGTGTGTGTGTGAATTGTGGTGCCCTCACAAACTGGTAATCTGGGGCAAAAACATATACCTTAAAATAACTTTTGGGTGCCTTGTTCCCAGAGCATTATAATAACCTTCTTTTGAAATGAATCAGCTCAGTTTATTACAGTTTATTAGATATTAGAACATTACACAACGTACCTTGAGGGGAGCTGTAACTTCTCTAGAAATTATTCCATTGAATAAAACATTGAAGATCACCTATAACTTGTGTTAAAGGACCACTATAGTGCCAGGAAAACATACTCGTTTTCCTGGCACTATAGTGCCCTGAGGGTGCCCCCACCCTCAGGGTCCCCCTCCCGCCCGGCTCTGGAAAGGGGAAAAGGGGTTAAACTTACCTTTTTCCAGCGCTGGGCGGAGAGCTCTCCTCCTCCGATCCTCTTCTTCTCCTCCCCGTCTGCTGAATGCGCACGCGCGGCAAGAGCTGCGCGCGCATTCAGCCGGTCACATAGGAAAGCATTCATAATAATGCTTTCCTATGGATGCTGGCGTGCTCTCACTGTGAAAATCACAGTGAGAAGCACGCAAGCGCCTCTAGTGGCTGTCAATGAGACAGCCACTAGAGGAAATAGGGGAAGGCTTAACCCATTCATAAACATAGCAGTTTCTCTGAAACTGCTATATTTATGAAAAAATGGGTTAACCCTAGCTGGACCTGGCACCCAGACCACTTCATTAAGCTGAAGTGGTCTGGGTGCCTAGAGTGGTCCTTTAACCTTTTTTTCATGTACTCTGTTTTTATCTTTATTAAAGATTTATCAAATTACATCACAATATAGTTCAGTACAGGCAAAGCCAAGGGCAAACATTTTTTATTTCTATTTTTTTTTTTTACGAGGATCAATAAAAAAATAAATAAAAGAGCTCTCTCTACCTACAATAAGTGACAACAGCAACTGACAATCGACATGTTTCTAACAATGATTGACAGACATCTAAGATGGAGGCACCCAGCTGCAAGATAAAGTGTGGATCTTATTTTTCACATCTCGTAAATACATATTTTGTTAAATATAGGCATAAGCAGACTGAATATTAAAAATCACGAGAAGAGACAGTTTCCCTTTAAATCAGGTAGAGCAGCAAATCTACAGTGGAAGTAGGAGGAAACCATAGACTCCAATGGGTTGCAACTTCCCAATCGTCCCCCATACACAGTCAGTGGTGTAGCACTATGAAGGTTGCTGGAGTACAGCGTACACAAAGAACCAAAGGCATTTAACATGAAGTATTTCCTCAAAAGCTTTCAGAGCCTACTGGGCGTTCTAATGTTCTTCTTGGCAATCGATATTGGACTATAACTTCTGAAGCAGAATGATGGTTGTTAGATCCACTTAAGAGGAACACTGCAGCTATCATAATCACAACAACGAGCAGCAGTTATTGTGGTGCTTGCATTGTACCTTTTAAGTTCAGTGTTTTGATGTAGTCCATTGATTAAATCATGACTTATATCATGTTGATTTTGAGGGGTCTGTCTTATTAGAGTCCCTGAATCTTCAATAGTGGAGACTCAAATTTCTAAAACCAGTCATAGCTCTATCTTATCCTTCATCCTCCTTTTAGCTTTCTAGTGGTAAAACGCAGCCCCCTTATATCAGTGGAGTTCCAACAGGTAGTTGCAGTTCGGTGTGTGTGAAGAGAGTTGTTACATAACTCCACTGTTGAGAAAGTGATGCTCAAATGACAGCCACGCCTCCCCAAATATGTACCACAATACCTTATATTGTGGGGGTCCTGTAGTCAGCAAGAATCTATGTAACTGTTGACAGGCTGACCCTCCTGGGCTTGGGTCTTCTTCTTCAAAATATTTTTCTGCCTCATTCTATATACCCTGTCATACACTTAGGATGATTTAGAAGGTCCTCAAACGTTACTTTTGGTTGGTTATTTTCATATTTTCATAGTATGTGATATTGTTTTGTTTTTGTTTGTTTTTTTAACTTTTGATGCCCTGAGATGAATTGCAAGTTCGACCTTGTAAATCATACATTGCATTTTTCCTTAGACCTCGATTTAATATTTTTTAATAAGCTGTTTAAATTATCCCAATCTGTTAGAAAAACTTTTCAAATGTTTTATCTCCAGTCATCATTACAGTATATGGTAATATTAATTGAAAAATGTAAAAGATTATGATGATTTGAAAAGCTTATTTAAAAATATTCAGCCTTAGTTTGATAGTTAACCTTGGCATTAAAGTAAACCCATAATGACAGGTAGATTCATGTTAACTAATCCACTCATAGGCAATGAAAATATGATTTATCGTAGAAAGAAATAATTCCAGTGCAATAGTGCAGCCCTAGCAAGCCTCATAGTTACACATTTGTAACAGCTGCCTCTTTTCCTGTCTGCACTCTGATTTGATAGGCCCTGCTACGGGACATTTCCCCATGAAGGACAATCCTCATTCATGACACAGACATGCTGGTTTTATTGCAAGCCCATCACTGCTTGAATGGAATCGTGTGCTACCCCATACCCCCAACAACTGGAAGGAAGAATCATGAGGGGTGGGCAAAGGCCATCACCAGTGAACTGTTCCCTGCATGGTCCTAGTGCCTGATGCTCAGCAATAAAGCATCTAATAATGAGTTAGTGCTGTGATAGGCAGGGACATTTTCCTGGTTTCCTTAAAATGTGGACCACCAGTGAACTAAAGTGGGACGGCGGGACAAGACCACTCAATTTGGACTTTCCCGTTTAAAGGCCTGCTCCCCTAGCCAGTGTAAGAAATGCTGCGTTTTCAGCAAATAGTGTGCATGCAATGTAGTTACTGCACCAGAGAACATGAGAACACCCTGTGGGTAGGTTCTCCTGCTCACCCCTGTCATTCACTTGCTGGCATAGAGATATGTGCCAAATATAATGAATTAATTAACTGAAGGTGGAAGAGGGACCTGTTTTTAAATAGAATTTTCTTGCAATCTGTACATTTGCTAGAAATTCTGTCAGTACAGTGTAGAAATGAAATGTAATTTACTTTTAAACACTTTTTTTTCTAAAATGATATTTTGTAAACTACATAAGTAAGGCTCAGCCACAGAGTTCATGAAATTATCTTTAGTGCAAAGGTTTGTTATTATTTCCCAAAAGCCATTAGTCTTCGCTTAATGATTGCTTTTAAAATCCTACTATTTTACTACTATTACTACCTGTTTGGTTATAAAATTCAAAATGGAGGAGTGCCCTGACCAAGAGAGCAAAAGATAAAAGTAGTTTAAAATGTCTATAATTGGTGTATCAGATAAATGGCAAACACCATTAGGTAATGAATAGATAGATAGTAAATACAAAATATATATATATATATATATATATATATATATATATAACAACAAATATAAACAAAATAGAGCTATATAAAATTAATAAGAAAAGAAAGACTAATATTAATATATGATTTGTGAGACAGGACCCACATTGGCAAATAAATGTTGTCTAATGTCATTAAGACATCATGGTTCTGAATTACTCTGGTGTTAATTCTCACACTGTATCTTAGGAGGTTGAAAAAAAAAAAAAAAGAGAGGGAACCTCAGCTAAGTAGCACTCTGGAGAATCTTTCCCCCTGAAGAGCCGCCGTACCGGCGAAACACGAGTCGGGGGTCACTCATTACCTGTGACTGTACTTGTCTTTGTACTTACTGACATTTATTAAGATGTATTAAAGATAGTATTTAATTTCAATCCAGGTATTTCTAGATCAATTTAATTCTGCTGCACTCCTTAGTGACAGTTAGCTCTTGGCTTGCTCCATAAGCACAGGTGCCCTCGAAGGCACAGCATAGGATTTCCACAGAGCAGTTTCTTCACTGAACAGTTTTCTCTAATCTTGCAGTAGTTTCTCAACAGAATGAGATTACTTTTTACTTGATTTGGTGTGTACTTGTGGTGCACCACAATTCTACAGAGCGCTACTTAGTTGAGGTTCCCTCTCTTTTTTGTTTCAACCTCCTCAGATACAATGTTGCTCTTTAGAGGTTAACAGTAGAAGCTCCTTGTATCAGTGCTTTAGATACATTGCACTGCTTCACTTTGAGAGATATAGTTTATTGTGCATCACAAGTGAGAATTAACACCAGAGTGATTCAGAACCATAATGTCTTAGACAACAGAGATTTATTTGGAAATTTGGGTCCTGTTTCACAAATTATATATTGTTAGTCTTTATTTTCTTATTAATTGTATATAGCTCTAGTTTTCTTTTTTTTTTTTCACCTTATTCATTGTATATACACCTATTTCATCAACAGCTTCTTCTCATTCCCCATAATCTCAGTCTACACGACTCTGCTCTTTCAAGGTTCTCCTCCTATCTATCCCAGTGCTCTTTTAGTCTTTCTTTTTCTGGCTCTTCCTCTTCTCTGCAACCCCTTTCTGTTGGTGTTTCCCAAGGCTCTGTCCTTGGCCCCCTACTATTCTTAAACTGTACTGCTTCCCTTGGTAAGCTCAATAGCTCTTTTGGCTGTTGAGTTTATCAATACCCCTTCTTGTGGATGACACGCAAATCTACCTGCCCTCTCTTGACCTCTCAAAGTCCCTCTCCTATCTACTTAGCCTCACTAATACACATATAGGTACCGTTCAGGCCTCTACACTCTGCTGAAGATCTACGTCTATTCTCTAATTGTACTCGCACCTTTGACACACACTTTCAAGACTTCTCTAGGGCAGCACCATTATTATGGAACTCCCTTCCCTCCTCCATTAGACTCTAACCCAGTCTTCATTCCTTCAAAGAAATTACTTCTCTAGGAAAGCATATTAATATAAATTAAACTGTTAATATCTGTCCCTTCCTCCCTCTTGGAAACCCATCCTGCATCCTCCCCTGCAACTGTCATTCAATAAACTAACCCTACATTGTAAACTATTCTAGCAACCTAATTTTCCTCATACATGAACTACATCCTACCCTTACCCCTTCTGTCACTTTCCCCTACTCCCTCTAGAATGTAAGCTCGTTTCAGTATGCCCCTTAACACCCTCTGTTCCTGTGCATCCAACTCTTCTTGTTGCAGAAACGTGTCTGTTCCTCCACCTATTCTTCAGCACTACGGAATCTTTTGGCGCTTTATAAATAATAATAAGGAACAAATGAAAATCAGCAGTCTCAGGAAAAAAGAAAACGTGACAATAGTTACCGAATCAAGAGTCTGCAATGGTTAACATATTATATTAAAAAAAATCCACTGCAGATATTTTAAAAGCGCAAATAAAAATATAAAATATCTTTAAAGTAGCAAGAGATTAGAACATGCTAATAGGCTATTAGTGACTCATTTTAACACTAATGTAGTGCATACTTATAACTCTTTGTCAAAGCTTATATAATCCCACAGAGGAATTTAAGAAAAAACAAAGTGTTAATCGGTTATGTTAATGTTCGGCTTATGTTCTTTAGCACTAAATTGCACTTGTCTGAAAGGGGGTTTCCTCTACATTCTAGAGTTGTTTTAAATGCATTCTACATTGAAATGTACAGTAGATGAGAACTGAATTGCTTGGGAGTAAGAATCAACATGTAAGCAGGGGTTTAGACAGATACAAGACAGATTTTTATGTCAAATTTGGTAAATATTGTAATCATCTTTATGGTTTTTTTTTTGTTTTGTTTTTATTGAGCCCCTTTTTTTAACTCAGGGCAATTTTGACAGAAATTGTCTTCTCCAACAAACCACTTGGTAGAACCTCAAAATCTTCAGGTGAACGACTCCGCTGTGTTCATTTACACTATAGCTCCCCATTACTTTAATATTGAATTAAGAAGAAGCAGCTGATCCCTGATGATTTCAAGTGACAATCTTTGTTCTTTTTATGTGAACATGCTAAATAAATAAATACTGGCATTTTTCATAATTAGATTCATTTTCTTTATTCTAGTAAAATTTATTAAAAATAAATAAACTCTCCATAAAACTTACCTTTATTCCAGCATTGAGGCATACTTCTCTTCTCAAGCCCAATCCTTGTCTGATAAATTCATCAATTCCTATGACTCTTGGCTATTCAGATGCTTCTCACAGAGCATGAGCATTGAGTACGCATGGCGCACGCAATGCAAATGCTAGACCAATCAAAAGCTTCTTGTAGCAAAGGATTGAATCCAAGCATTTGCAACGTTCAGTGTCATCACGCTTTGTGAATACCAAAGGTCTTAAAGGAACACCATCCTATTTGTCACTCCACATAGCAAATGGAAGTGGCAGTCGCACTGGGCTTGGCCACGCATGCGTTCACCCCTTCTAAATGAGCTGTACTACACTTTCCTGATACAGACTGAAAGTTTATACTGGGCAAATAGGGAGGGCTTGCAAAGGCAGTGGATAGTATGTCCGCAGATTTGCAAACTGTTATTTTTCATATAACCTCAAAAAAAAATTCAGAAAAAATACATACATGTTTTCCTTGGGGGTATATCTACTAAATAGTTAAAAAGAGAGAGTGTTCCAACAGAGTGTTCCTTTAAGGAGCAAGCTCATGTAGTGGCTGTGTGTCACGTTTGTTGACATTTGGACATCTGTCTACATTATCACTTCTGAGAAACAGTAACGTTTTACATTTTCTGAGAAAAGGGACAGCATCTATACACCAAATCTACTTGATTAAGATGAAGTGGCTTTTGATATGTTTACTGTCCATTTAATGAATGCAACATTGGATACATGTTGGTGTGAATTCGACTAAGCTTTGTAAGTGGTCAAAAAAAAAAAAGAACCCTTAAATAGAGAAAATGCTGTCCTGTAAAAGTCCAGCAACCCTAATGGTGCATCTAAGGATACACCATGATCTCAGGTTATCTTGTAAAAAAAAAAAAAAGACTGTGCATTTTGCGTAGCTGATTTTTTTTTTCTAATTTAGACATTTGTAGTATAATTCACAAGTGATAGTAACTTTCTACCAGTTTCCTGTTCATCAGCTGAAATGTCATGTAGTTCCACAAATGACGTCTGCACGAATTCCACAAACACTTGTCCTCTTGTTAAAGGGCATTTAACAACCCATAACATGTATGTATCTTTAATATAAATTGTTTTTTTTTTTTAAAACCCACTAGGAACCTGTTCTGGAAACCAATTCTTACGCAAAAATTTAGTGAAAATTTACAATTTTTTTTTTTTTTTAAAGACAAGGTTTTTAGGACTCAAATAATTTTGTAAGCCTCTTTCCCCTAAGAGTGATGTGTGTTCTTACTGTGATCATAACATTCAAAGACTTTACTTGTTATCAGCGAACCAGCTCTACACGATCTTCAGTTTGCCCAGGAAGCTCTATCATATGATCTGACAACACATGACGTGAAACATCTCAAACAAGTATACATTGTGCAAAAGGGAAGTAAAATCTTTTTTTTTTTAAATTCCAACAGGACACATTTTTAAGAGACAAGCGTCCATTTACAAACATTATCTTATATATCATTTTGCAAACACATACACATACACACACTGACATTTGTACAAAAATGTTGCTGAAAACATTTAATAAAATGTATCGTTTGAACATACTGGATTGCAGTTCCCCTCTCCACAAACTGTATTTTTTGAGAAACATGTTAATTAAGATCAGAAGTTTTTAGGGATTTTTAGAAAAGGTTGATCTACATTGAATGGTGACATTTAATGAAATTATGTTATTGAAAGGAGTAATCCATTAAAAAGATTCCATCGTTTGTAAAGCATGGAATTTAGTGAAATTGAACATCCTTAAAGGGATACTGTAAACACCAAAACCACTGCATTGTGTGCGATGATGCCATCCACAACATCACAGAGAAGGATTAGATTGAGCAGCATTGGATTTGCAAAGCATGGCTGTTGCTGCGCATGTTCCCTTTGTCCCCAATGCTTCTCTATAAGAAACATTGGATTCCACAAAGATTATAATATTGATGATCTCATAGTAGGTAGAGCAGGCTGCTGCGAGGATACTTTCCCAGCTCTGGAGAAAAGGTAGGTTTGTTTTTGTTTTGTTATAATTTTTATATTAGAAAAAAAAATGGGAAGTCCGAATCTTAAAAAAAGACCGCTCTAAGGTTACAAATAGGTATATTTCTTTTTAACATTAAGTGTCCCTTTAAATTATGTTTTGCTCCATTTAATTTTTTATTTTTAGTTAACAGTTTTGTAGATATTCCCCCACAGAAAAAAAAACAGTTTGCAAAAGCTGCAGAACTGCTGTCTGCAGCCTTTGCAAGGACTCCCCTCTTTTTCAGTGAATGTCAGGGAACACACCAATCAGAGGCTTCTCATTGGGAAGCACACTATGGCAGCTTTCCTATGCTTGTAATACAGCTCAGTGAGAATGGGGGAACGCAGGCGCTTGCCATCACAGCATGGCTGCCACTTCTCTTGTGGAGCAAAAGAGGAAGAAATCCTGCCTGGCTGTCAGTCAGATATATCTGCCCCTTATTATATAAGTGCTGATTTCTTTTGGAATCAGTACTTTTATAAAATGTCAGAAAAAACAAGCAGATGTGCTTTTTGTGTGTGTTCAGTGTTCCTTTACATATTGTATGACTTTAGATAGACTGCTCGCACTGAATTCTCTTTGTAGTGTAGTGTACTCATGCTCACCAGGCAGTAACAGTTCCTCTTTATGTAATAGTTTATTTTAAAGACATAGCTCAAATTGGTCACCTTACGTATTAGAAAAAAAGAGTGTAATATAAAGAGATAGTCAAGGTGGAAAATTAGCCAATTTCAAGATTTTTTTTTCTATGTTGGTTTAAAATTTTTAAATTCCACTGTCAATTTAGTTAAAGAAACACTATAGTGTTAGGAATACAATACTGTATTCCTAATGCTAAATTGTCCCTCTGCCTCTGTACCCCACATCCCGTTCTCCCCCTGTTTGCCATCCCCCTATCCTCCCTTATATATGAAAAGGTTCTAATAACCCTTCAAAGACTTACCTGATTAGATCGGGCTCCTCCTCCAGTGATGTCAGTCGATGGAGGGGCTAATGTGTATGCAATGGGCATGCATTAAGCCTTCCCCATAGGAAAGCATTGACTCAGTGCTTTCCTATGGGAATTTAGAAGATGGTGGATGTCCTCATGCAGAACAGGGACATTGCACCCAAACCACTTAATTGAGATAAAGTGGTCTGGGTGCCTATAGTGTCCCTTTAAAAAACAAAACAAAAAAAACACCATTTAGCCTAAGGACATTTTTAAGAACTAATAACTAAAGATAGAAAATATCTAGATACAATTAAGCGGGTGTATTAAAGTGCACTAGAAGTTAAATACTACAGGACTGGTGTAGAAAGTATGGGCGTTAATCTGTGCTTCAATTCACCTATAACAATCCAATTTAAAAACAGAATATATTCCCAATATTCCAAGCTCTCAGAGAACAAACTCAATTTGAACATGCATCAAATTATGGCATATTCATTAGAAACATCTCAGGAAAATAGCAACCGTAGAGAACATCAAATGCAGCCATATAGACTTACACAATATGGGTGTGATAAGGGCCGTAGATCATATTGTAGACTGTGTAGGAACTGGTTCCTGCCATCACTGCATTGAATAATTTCCAATATCTAGCAATAAAATATCTCTATGCCTACTTGTTTGATCAGATAATGCAAAGCTGGCACAGATTTATCATAGAAGTATCCCAAAATCTGGTGTAGAGTCACATTCGGGCCACAGGCTATAGTGCACACATTTACCCTATCCAAAAAAATATATATATATATAATAATAATAATAATAATAATAATGTATATATATATATATTTTTTTAAACAAAACAAAAAAACAAACTTGTCTGCAGTTCAGCTTGCATTAGGCTCTCAATGCAAGCTGAGATCAATGTTTGGCTGTGAGTAGTGGGAATTATACCTTAGACAAATCTGGTTAACCAAAACCCACAAAATCTTTATTTATTAAATTTTTGTCCAAAATAAAGATGGTCACTTAGTAAACAGCATTTACAGAACGAGAATCTAATAAAGTGAGGCCTGAGAGAAACCTCAGCCTTACGAAAAAATAAAATAAATAAAATAAATAGAAGCTAAAAAAAAATTCGCCCCCTTTTCACAGCCATTATTTTAATGATTAAAGTCCAGTATTCTCTTATTCTATGGAAATGTGCTTGTTGTATTCTTGCCCTTTACTGTCACTTAGATATACCATGTATATGGGCCCCAGTTAACATGCCTTTAATTATATTAAACACATTCTTATTTGCTAAAAACAGAAACCCCATCAAATATTGCAAATAGTATATATATGCAATAAGTCAAACACATGCCCAGCAATGTGGTGAGAGAGACAGAGACAGAATGTGTGCAAGAGGTGAGACATTTAACATACCATGCTTATTAATTTACCAGTTAGCTATTTTATCCCTAGCACCTTTCCACATCAATGTGACTTGTGAGTTTATTCTTTTATAGTTTAACCCTTCGAGGCATGCTGCAATAAGACCAATGGGACTTATTCACTAAACAGTGAACGGTAGTTGGATTGATAACTGACTTGCAACATACAGGCTAAAATAACCAGTGGGAAAAAAACTCTACTTAAGTGGGAGAATTTGTCCAATTGTCAGCAAGTCATCAAATTGTGAGCTATTTAAATGTTGCAGTTCAACTGGCTTTTTACTGAATAAATCCCCAACAGGTTAAAACAACTAGCAACTGTATTTAGTAGGTAATTTGACTTAGCTGCTAAGGGTTCCAATACAATTTAGACCATTTTATGGTCATTGTAATAATAATAAAATTAGTCATCACCCACATTTTGGTCTTGTTTAAACTCAGCGGTGCGTTGAGTTAAGCTATATAAATTCAAATTCATTTCCGTCAAAAATGGAACAGATTACCGATGTATATTATTTTTAGTTGTTTCTTAAATTAAACAGAATGACAAACCGATAGCCTTCTTGTATAACCCATTAATTATCCTCAAGTTCATAGTCTTCAAAAACATCAAATGTATCGTGTTTAAAAATATATTCTAAACTTCTAAATTCAGTTGTTCCATTGGTTTACTTACCAGCAATATCCCACAACTGCAACCGTACCACGGTATCAGAGTCCCAACTTAGAACTTTCAAGGCAAAATCGACCCCGATGGTAGCTCGGTAATGTGGTGAGAAATTTTGGTGGACATAACGTTTGATGATACTCGTCTTCCCAACTCCCAGGTCCCCGATTACTAAGATCTTATAAAGGTGCTCTTTCTGGTGACTCTGCATCTTGGTATCCTGACTCCCTGTAAAACTAATCCCATTCTCTCTAGTGAAATCTTGCCAGGGTCAGGAGGAGGGAGAGGGGGAGGGCATGGCAGACCGGCACAAATAGAATGAAACAAGACTACTAGCATTGCAAAGAGACTGTGACAGAAGCATTGTGAGATATCATCAAGGAAGTGAGATAAATAGACTGAAAGCTGTAAAATATTATTGCACATTTGAGCATAATTAACCATTTCAATAATGAAAGTATTACATCCTTATTACTGCAAACATCTCTTTTTTTTTTTAAAAGTGCAATAAGTCTTCTGAGTTCCAGCAAGCTACTAAATATTCCTTGGCTTGATACAGTGTAAAAATAATCATTTAATATATAAAATAATTGATTTGTATGTATATATTCTTCTTTCTTCTACATTTAGAATCCCAAAATTTTTTTTACACTTACCCTACACAATCTACATTTAGTTCGTCCATTGAGACAAAGTTTTTTTTATTAAAAGCGATAGAATGAGCTTGCTGATTTCATTGGTTTCCATGGTGATAGTACTACTTTTACAACTTTGTACCACTTTTCAGATCTCACCTGAATCAATCTCCTTCAATGAGTGGGTGGTCAGCTGTCTGGCCAAACCGGTATTGGTCCTGAAGATATTTTCCATTAATGGGTTACTCCAAACACTTCAGTGATTTCAAGTGGTCATGGTGGCTGGAGTCTGTATGTGCAGCGTTTTTCTATAAAACACTACACTTGCTGAGGTTAATCACTGTAGAACATCATGGGACCACAGCCTTAACGGGAACCCTTTTGAAAGACTGTGTAGGTCAAAATGTTGCAATGGGTTCAATAAATTTGTATCCTGAGAGTGCCTGGACTTCTCTGCTATTTTTCCTCAGCCAGTGAATGAATTGCAGATCAGCATCACTCTCTCTGCAATAGGTGGATATGGTTGAGCCACCATTGTGGGCAGGGCCAGGTAAGAGGGCGAACTATTGTAAACAGATTTGCCCCATTACTGTGTAACATCACAAGTGTACTCCTACCATCATAACTACTAAAGCAGGTTGTAAAGTGGTGTAATTAGTACTCGTCCAGATTGTCCCTACAGAGCCACCATGCCTCTTACCACTTTTCACTATTACCTTAGTGCAGTGGTAGGCAACCATTGTAGATGTTGCTGACTACATCTCCCCTGATGCTTTGCCAGCAGTATGGCTGTAAAAGCATTATAGGATATGTTTTCTATAACATTTGATGTGCTGAAGGGTACCAAGTGCCAAAGGCTACCCTTGCCTTAGTGCATGGCATGTGTGTCCAAGGTGGCACTACATTTTTTATGGTATTCCACCTCTTTCCCAAAGTCATACTGGAAGCCATAGCCATCCAATCACCACAGCCTCCTGACATGTCAGTGGGCAGCCTTATTTTACATTCTTGGCTGCAGAAAACAAACAAATATCAGGCAGGGCCAGTGTAAAGATTTTTTGGCTGCCCAGGTGACAATGCATTTAGCTGCCCCCCCCCCTTCCAAAAATGTCCCTTTGTGTGTCTCTTTCTCCCCCAAGTCTCTTTGTGTGTCTCTTTCTTTCCCCCAGCCCCTTTCTTTGTCTCTCTCCCCTCAGCATGTTTGGTATGTCTCCCAGTGCCCTTTGTATTTTTCCTCCCATAACATAAAGACAGATATATAGCAACACACACAATCACACACACATAATTATTCAGACACACAGGCACACAATCAAACAAACACAGTCATACAGGTGCACAGTCATACAATCTTCACAGACAAACACAGAGACAGAAAGACACATTTAGGGTCTTTAGTAGGGGATAAGGGCTGCATGTGGGGGGATAGAGACTGTAGTTGGAAGGATGTGTAGTAGAGGAATAAGGAGTTGTAGAGGGGGGACGTGGGCTACAGAGGGGGCAAAAAGGCTGATGGGGGACAGGGGCTTTAGAGGAGGGTGGGGCTGTAGAAGTGAGGGCAGGGGCTGTGATGGGTCCACATGGGCTTTAGATGGGTCACAGGGGCTGTAGAGGGGGAATAGGGGCTATAAACAATTTTAAAATACATGACATTGCACATGTGCAGTTTAAAAAGGGTCAAATACATTTAAAAAAAATGGTGTGTTTATAAAGGGACACCAAGATGGCCACCGAAGCAGGACCATAGGGTACACCAATATGACCACCGCCAGTCAAAAGACAATGGCCAGCACGGCTGGAATATTAGAAACTTAAGCTGATAGGTGAGGGAGGTGGGATGAAGTTAATAAACGCTCAAAACTAGCGTTTTTGTGCTTGCAGGAGCACCAAAGGTGGTGTAGCAAGATGGCCACCAATCACACTGGCTGTGTCGTCATGGAGATGTGGTGGGCCTACCCTCCTAGCTCAAAGGAGCTACTAAAACTATTAGAGGGTGGAAGGGGAGGAGAAAAAAAAAGAGCAACCTGCTGTGGGAAGGACAACCGGGGAATGGGATATCGAGTAGGGGAAGGGAAATATGATAATTATTTTTTTAAAAAAGGGAAAGATAAAAGTCCCTTTATAAACATACTAGCCCTTTTTCTAATTTATTTTTTTTATGTATTCTACTTTAAAGTTTATCCATTTTAACTGCACATGTGCAATGTCATAAGCTCCTTCACTGCTCTAAAGTACCTTGGATTTTAAAATAGTTTGTAGCTGATTACCTGTAAGTCACACGAGCTGACCCTCTCATTTTTACTTTGTGTAGGCTATTTAAAGGGAAACTCCAGTGCCAGGAAAACAATCTGTTTTCCTGGCACTGCAGGTCCCCTCTCCCTCCCACCCCCAATCCCCAGTTGCTGAAGGGGTCAAAACCCCTACAGTAACTTACCAGAGGCAGCGACGATGTCCCACATCGCTGCTTCTTCCTCTGCCGCTCCTCCCAGTGATTGCGTCAGCCGGTGGGTGAGACTGATCCCGCCCACCGGCCGGGGAGACCTAATGCGCATGCGCATTAGAGCTCCCCATAGGAAAGCATTGAAAATGCTTTTCAATGCTTTCCTATAGGGAAATAAACAACACTGGAGGTCCTCACACAGTGTGAGGACGTCCAACGACGCTCTAGCACAGATTTTCTGTGCTATGATGCAGGAAGTGCCTTCTAGTGGCTGTCTAGTAGAGAGCCACTAGAGGTGGAGTTAACCCTGCCAGGTAATTATTGCAATAATTACACTTGCAGGGTTAAGAGTAGTGGGAGTTAGCACCCAGACCACTCCAATGGGCAGAAGTGGTCTGGGTGCCTGGAGTGTCCCTTTAACCAGGAAAAGCCTTTGAAAAAGCCACTTTGGGTGAAAGGCATTAAAAATTTTATGTTATTGGTTTGATTATCTTGGTTTAAATAAAACTAGTTTTTTACCTTACCTGGACCTTCCTGATTTACCCCTGAAATTTTCTCCGGAAGAGCCACACTTTTTACCTCTTTGGTGGGGGGTAAACCACCTATGCGACACAGGATTGAGCAAAAAACTCATTTTTTGCTCTTCTAATGTGAGTATACTTCCTTTTATTTGACTTTAAACCAACAAAACATAGAGCACTATTTTCTGTTTTTATTCTCATTTTATGAATTTGGTGAATATCTCTGACACTGTAATTTGGAGGGAAATACCCGTGAACGCTTGATACTTTAACTGGCCCTTGACCCTGACCTACCATCTAGAAGGAACCAAGCTGAGCCACAGGCGGGAATCATACCGCCCAGGTGCATATATCTGGAGCTGAACATAAGTGTAAGTGGCATTTCTCTTATTTCACCTCACCACCTATGGAAACTACTACACTATATTCTGTTTTCTTTATACATATTTTCCATATTGACTCACCACAATATGAATTTGCTTCCCGCTACGCTTTCCTGACTCATTTCCACTACTTCATTGCCACACAGACTGCAGGCTGGCTTACATCTATTGTCCCACTCCAAGTCTGCAGTGATGTTTTGTGCCTTCTCCTGTATTGTCCTGTTTGTGCATTGGATTCAGACACCTCGGTAGCACTGGTCCCTAACAGCTCTGGAAAAATATGACAATTTGAAAAAAAACAAAGGGAACTTTGAATAAGTTTCCAAAATCAGTTGGTCCAATAATGTTGCTAGTAAGTGTCTGAAGATTACATACACAATCCGGGGCACATACTCACTCCGTAAACGCCAACTTCAAACTCACAAACTGTAATAGTTTATTAAAACTATCTGAAAAATAATGGGGATTTAGTTACAGTATATAATTACACATTTACATAACATAAGCCTACCATAACCCCAATGTAATGAATTTTTGGGAGGTCCCGTCCTAGCATGAACAATGTACTTATTTATGCACAGTCTTTAACCCCTTAAGGGACAAACTTCTGGAATAAAAGGGAATCATGACATGTCACACGTCATGTGTCCTTAAGGGGTTAAACGTATGAAAACATGTCCACTTAGAGCAACAGTTCAGTTCGAGGTGATGGATGGTTTTCCTGTATGAGTTCCTTTTAGACCGTGGCCTGAATTCTGTGTATGATTGTCCTGCCTTGGATTTACATATTAAAATAATGATAAAACATACTAATCGCTCCGGAATTGTAGGAGAAATACATCCTATTTGCTGCATTGATGTTTCCATTGATAATGTATAGGCTGTGTTTAAGGTCCATTTTATTAATATTTGCCTTGGATGCAATTAAATACATATTTAGGGGATTTGAGGATTTTTTTTATGGTTTTACAGCAATATCCCTTTTTATATTTTCTATGTGCAGCTCTCTGTTAATATAATGTGTTTCTTCATCTGGAACAATAACATTGCAAATGCTTCACTGCAAATCATTTAATTAAACGTTTAATTCCTGGTTATTTCAAAGAGGCAAACAAATTGCTTACCTTTAATGTCATTGATCATGCATTGTATTTGTTTCTTCTATCCAATTCCTTGCACGTTCGCTGGCATGTGGAAGCTAACTGCTATAAATAATACGGTGATACTTTCTT